ACAAATACATATACAGTCAGGGGTATACAATTGGACTTTTGGTCTGTCACCAGAAGGGCAACTGAAAATAACCAGTTTGTTAATATTAGTCTCCAGTCATCATTTTGAGTCAACAGTTGCCTTTCTTATAAAAACTTTTGCATTTAGCAGAGTTTTTCTAGTCATTTTTCCTTAGCTAAGTGTAGACTAGAAATAATTAGATAAAATAATTAATTAAAGAAAATAAAGGGTTAAGTGTGGACTAGGAATAATTTGCATAAATAAAAGTAATATTGTAAACCATTGTTAACATTAACATTTCTACTTTCAGACAAAGCACATGCGGATATATATGCTGTTAGTTTTTCACTTAAAAAGTTTTTCACTTATTATACTAAAAAAAAAGTGCTCTTTTTCAAAACATCAAAATATTGATAAATATAAAACAAACAATTTTCAAATACTTTTAAACCTTATGCTTTTAATGTGTTGTAATTATTAGGATCTTATTTGTTACAGAAGCTTAAAAACTATTGATGTTTTGAAAGTATTATAAAGTACTGTGTTGTAGTTGAATTCAATTTTAAAACATTAAAAATCATTTAAACTAATATTAAAAAAAAGTTAATTTAAAAGTTAAAAGTTAAAGATAGAAATTGGACATTTAAAAAAGATTATTTCCTTATAGTTTATTTCTTAAAACAATCTTATCCTTAGTATAATCTTTTGTTTGTTTATCACTATTTATTTGTATTAATTTTTACGTATTCAATATTGTATTTTTAATGAAGATTATAGAAAGTTCATAGATAGATTTTATTAGTAACCAATAAGATATTTGCAAACGTAATTTATGTTTATAAATGTATTATATCAAAAGAACTTATCAAGACAATAAGAACTAAGAACTTAACTAGACAATGTTTTAATAATAAGAAACAAAAATTTTTAAATATATTTATGAAAAGAATTCACTTTAACATAACACTTCTCCCTTTTTATTAGAAAAAAAAAAGTTTTTTATTTGCTCTTGCATATTATAATCTATAATGAGGAAACCTATGTTTTACTTAATTAATTAGTTAGCTGATTTTAAGAAATAAATTACTATAAACGTTTTACTATTTTACATTCCTTTAAAATTAAATTTAAATTTTTTTAAATCATATTTAATTTAAAGTCTTTTAATTAAAAAACATTTTAATAAAATAATCTGTTTCTTTAAAAAATTAAATGCAGTTAAATGCTTTTTTTTACGACCTAAAATTTTCTGAATTAATGTTATATAAACAATATTGAAAGATAATTCAAATATTTTCAAACTATTTTTTTTTTTTTTTGTTTTTTTTTTTAATTAAAGTCACCTCCTTAAAGCCGTAAAGGCCACTACAGACGAGGAGGCTACTTATTTGTGGTTATAACCCTCTCTCAACTCTATAACTCCGAAACACGAACCTTGATGAACAAGGCCGCTGCGCAGAGAAACAAGTTGAGCGCGGTACTACCAGGGATGTGGTTGGGATCAAACTCGGAACTACTTGTTTATGAAGCGAGTGCTCTACCACTACACCACTACCGCATTAAATGTAACGTGAACCTTGTTAAGACCAGTATTTTACAGATCCGAAAATTTTTTTTTAGAACAAATTTATTTTTCAAATCTATTTTTGATTATCTAAAATCTTAAATAAAATTTGTAAAAAAATAAAAATAAAATAGTATTTTTGTTTAAAGGTTAAAACTTCTTAGTTTTTAATTAGAAAGTATTCAAATGCTACAATTAAACGCTCATATGTTTGAAGGTTAAAACTTCTGTGCCACTCATTTGCTATACCGCGTAAAATAATTACAACATGACCAAAAAAATGGATATCCATAATGTATATATACATCTCTATATGTTATTGCTGAACTTAATAGTGTTAGTAGTAGTAGTAGTGCTACTTCGAGCGTGTTTGACATGGAACCCTTGGCGGCCATTGCAACCGATGTGGCAGAGAGAAGAGTCGTAGTACATATTGTTAAAAGAAAATGCGAACGAAAGTGGATAGAAGTAGCCAACTTATGTAATTTTGAAATTATGTAATATTAAAAGGTATTAAAACATGTATCAAGTTTAACTGTTTTACTTTCGCTTGAAAACTGTATTGCAGCAACATCTGCTTAATTTTGATCAAGAGCAGTTGTTTCTGTTAAAATAATTATTATATAGTTTTAAAAATTTTCGCTATACAACGTGCCAGCATGGCTGAAAAGATAGCGCACTGAGCTTTTGAACATTAAAGCAGCGGTTTGAGTCCAACCTTTGGCCGCATTTTTTTTTTTTTTTATTTTTTTTGATTATTTTCAAATTTTTGAAGTTTTATAGAGATTATATACAAACATAAGTAATGATATTATACACTTTAATAAACGAAAAGATTGAAAAAAAGCTAAAATTTCTAAAAATGTCAAAACAACCATAGAAAAAATTTGTTGCTTATGTTTAATGATTAAGATACTTATGTTATTAATTTGCTCAGGTAATTAGTCCTAATAGAAACTTTATAAAGAAAAAAACTTAAAACTTAAAGACAGTTTTACTACTCCAGAAAGTGCTGCTCTAGAGGCAAAAGCAACAACCCGTAGCTAGAAAAACACTATCTTTTGAAAATTAGTTAATATATACTACAGCCGTTTTTCAAAATTCCTTAATATGCTTATTACCTATTTCAAAAAAAAATTGCAATTAAAAAAAATTATCATGAGAAACTCTTTGAAAAAGTTTTTTGATACTAAATTTTAATGAATTTTTTCAGTCTTTGAAATTTTTCACTTTTTGAAAATATGTATTCAATAATGTTTGTAGACATCTAAACTAGCTTATTTTAAAAGTCAAAAATGATTTTATTACCTTAAGGCGTTTTCAAAAAGGGCTGCAGTATGGATGATACAACGAATATGTTGAAATAAGATAATTTGACAGAAAATTTAAAAGCTCTAAACAAAAACCACTAAAGCAAAAATATTAAAAGTAATTGCAGTTACTTAAAAATTTTAAGTATAGTGTATTGGTGTTTGCAAACATTTTATAAATCATTTTTTAATTTTAATATAAATTAATATTTTTTTCAACTTTGTCGGCTTAACCATCCATATATAAACAATATATATACATATATATATATATATATATATATATATATATATATATATATATATATATATATATATATATATATATATATATATATATATATATATATATATATATATATATATATATATATATGTAAATATATGTAAATATATATATATATATATATATATATATATATATATATATGTATATATATATGTATATATATATATATATATATATATATATATATTATATATATATATATATATATATATGTATATATGTATATATATATATATATATATATATATATATATAATATATATATATATATATATATATATATATATATATATATATAAACAAATATGTTATTTGTTTATATATATTGTTTATAGAAAATAAAATATCCACTTACATAACTTTTTATTCAGGATTGTATGTAATATAAGTAAACTTTTCTAATAATTACATGTCTTTTTTACTCAAGCTGTTTTGTTTTGAGTTTTTGTATGTATGTTGTTATTATTATTATTATTTATTGTACCGCAACAAGCTATAGATTGTGTAACCAATTCTGGTTGTGGCGGCCTACATAAAAATTTACAAATTATTTTGAATTAATTTAATTAAATGGGAATAAAGCCAATTTCATCGTTAATCATCTTCAAGGTTTTTTGATTCAAAAAATTTATCCAATCTTGCTTTGAAACTATTTACAGTTGTGGCACTGATTATGTTTTTAGGCAATTTATTCCAAGTGTTCACCACACGATTTGTAAAAAACTGATGACGCTGTTCATTGTTTTTAACTAACTCTCTAACTAACTTAAAGTTATGACCTCGCGTTCGACTTTGATTAAAATTTCTTGGATAAGAGAGCAAATTTACGTTACACCAATTTACAATGTTGAAGCCATTTATTATTTTAAAACATTGTATTAGGTCACCTCGAACTCTGCGGTCAACAAGAGATTGAATACCCATAATTTTTAATCTTTTTTTGTAATTCAATTTTCTGAGTGATGGAATCAAACGAGTTGCTCGGTGTTGTACTTGTTCAATTAGAATTATGTCCTTTTTTTGGTAAGGGTTCCACGCCGGTATTGCGAATTCCAAATGAGGTCTCACAAGCGCTGTAAACAATGTTTTGAGAAGTTTGCTATTCATATAGGTGAAAGTCCTGCTTAACATTCCAAGTATTTTATTTGCTTTATTTGATGCATACATAACTTGACTATGATATTTCGTCTTACTAGATAAAATAACACCTAAATCCTTTTCATCGTTTGTACTGCATATACTAGTTATTTCATTTGCTATTGATGAAATTGTATAATTATGATGTTTGTTTGATTTGCCGAGATGCATTACTTTGCATTTTGACTCCTTCAAGTAAAGAAGCCATGTTTGGGACCATTTTGCGATTTTATTTATGTCATTTTGTAATACATTTATATCGTTGATATTATTTATTTTTGCTAATAGTTTAGTATCGTCAGCATACAATTTATTTACACTTTTTAATAGTTCTGACATATCATTAATATATATTATAAATAAAATAAGACCTAGAAGGGATCCTTGCAGTACACCACTCCGAACCTCTTTCCATTCTGATGAAAATTTGGCCATTACCACTTTTTGTCAATGATTTTTAAAAAAAGATTCAAGCCACTTTAAAGTGTGACCTATAATTCCATAATTCTACAATTTGTGAATTAAATATCTATGCGGAACAACATCGAAGGCTTTGGCAAAATTCATGAATACTACATCAACCGCATTTCCTTTAGATAATGAATAGGTAATAAAGTCCATTGTTTCAATTAAATTAGTTGTGCATGATTTGTTGTGCATAAAACCATGTTGATTAGTTGAAATTAGGTGATTTTGTACTAAGTGTTGGACCATACTGTCTTTGACAATTTTTTCCATAACTTTACTAACAACTGACGTCAAAGAAATTGGTAGATAATTGCTTGTATTTAGTTTGCTACCTTTTTTATATAAAGGTGTTATGTGTGCAGATTTCCAATCATCTGGACAAATAACTGATTGCATCGAAAGTGTGAATATATAACTTAAAGGTGTTGCTAGAACAAAAGCACAATTTTTTAATACAAATGGACTTACTCCGTCTGGGCCAACAGATTTATTTGGATCCAACTTCACTAATATATTGTAAACCAAATTAAAATCAAATAACGGTGTGCCACATATATTGTTTGTACGCTTTTCGAATTTTAGTACTTTTGTAACATCGTTACTGAAGTACCAAAATTTTATTATATTAAAAAAAATTATTATTATATTTAAAAAAATTAACAAGATTGAAAAAATATGAAACATATTGTTTCCTCATAAGTAAAATATTTGAAACTTCAATTTTAGATTCGCTCCTCTCTTGATAGTTTCTAATTGCTAAAATTACGTCATTTGTTTTTGAGACCATTAAAAATAATAGACGCTACTTTTTTTTAATCGTTTTTTGCGTATGTGATGTCACTTTGTGGCATAAAACTAGAAAAACAAACTAGAAATAAGATTTTAATCAAATTTTTGAAAAAAAATTTATATTCTCTTATGCAATTGTATGCAACATAATTAAAATTAATCAAAAGATGTAAGATAAATGCAAAATTAACGTAAGATAAAATGCAAAATTAAATGTAAATTAATGTAAATTAATGGTTTTAACTAATAAAATAAATTAAAATTAGATTATAAGTTATTTTAAAAACTTAATAAAACAATAATTGCGCTTAAATTACAATTAAAAGAAGCATGTGAACAACAGCCATTTAAAAAGTAATACTTTTAAACTTTTATATGAACCTTGCTATGCTTGAATAAATTTGAGAAAAAAAGAATTTTTTTTGTTTTTGTTTTAACTAAACATTTCAAAATTGAAAATCAAGTAAATACAATAAATAAATTATAAACTAATGTTTATAGAATATTATATATTTTTTACATGTATTTCAATTTGCATGTTGACACTTTAAGATAAGTTGGCAGTTGTATGCTGTCCTAAAGCAAAGATAGGTCAGCTTTTGCGTCAACATTGCCTAATAGCGACTTAAATTTCGCAGACTGTATATGTTATATATTTATATGTTGTATATTATATATATATATATATATATATATATATATATATATATATATATATATATATATATATATATATATATATATATGTATATATATATATGTATATATATATATATATATAAATATATATATATATATATTTAAATATATATATATATTTAAATATATATATATATATTTAAATATATATATATATATATATATATATATATATATATATATATATATATATATATATATATATATATATATCAGGCCTTGCTATGAATAAGAACTGCGCGACCCATAAGCACGACGTGATTTTTGACGTCATTAAATTCTTTTTATTTGCTTTTCATATTTATTGACATTAACTGCACCAATTTACTTAATTACCGCAAAACTACTTTAAATCGTTTATATAGAAATGTTTTTTATTTAAAAATGTTTTGGAATGTTTCGTTTTTTAAAATGTAAAAACATTTGTTTATTTTCTAGACGTTTGTCATGTTTTGTCCATACTAAACGAATAAAAAACATCATAACTTAAATTTAAAAAAGATTATAAAATATGCTAATATTTGATTTTTTTTTTCTTAAATATGTAATTAAAAGTTTTTCAAATAATTATTTTTTCTTTTTAAAAAGTCAGAGAGTAATAAACTGGAAATTTAAATATTGTACGATTAAAAACTGTGCAATAGCTAATATTTTTACAAGCAATTTTATATAATATTTATTTATTTATTTTTATTTATTTTCAATAAGCGGTTGATAAGCACAATCACTCGTATTATTAAAAAACTTAAACGAACGTTTTGAATAATTTTTAATGTTAACAAGGAATTTTATTTCTAGTAAAATAAAATAAAATGTTAGAATAAAAATCTTATAGGTATAAAAGAAATATTTCAGCGAAAAAATTATTCTTAAAAATTATTCGAAAAACTATTGACGTTCTATTTTTTAGCAGCTCTTCTTGAGCACGCTTCGTTGAGTTTCGGTAACTTTCAACATAAAAGCGATCGTTATTATATAAGTAATTTTTTTGAGTTACTTTTTACAAAAATTTTAATAACTGTACTTTTTTATTGAATCAAGTAGAATACGTTTTAATATTAATCCTTTTTTATTTTTTTATTTGCCCTCACCAATTTTTAAAATGTTTCCTCGAAATTACTCTTAAATACTTTAAATACGTCTAACACTTAATAAATATTTTTAAATCTATCGAATAATTTTAAAACCTAACAAACCCCCGTAAAATAATTATTTAAGTTTAAAATCTAAAACTAAAAGAAAGTATTTTTGTTCAATTTTATCGACAACTTTGCTATTGCTGAATAATTTTAATTAAATGGTAGCTTAAAAGATTTAAACTTTTTTTTTAATTTTTGAATTTTTTCTACTTGTAAATAATGAGCATATTTAATTTTTTTAAATTCAAACTTTTATTTCAACTGCGTGCGGTTTTTAAAATATTTTATTAAATGTTAAAATAATCGTAAATTACTTCATTAAAATTCCGCTCAAAAATATCTTTAAATATACTCAAACAAAAATTTTTTTGCTCGACGCAAATAGCCCTAGCTACACCCAAAATTGCTCTTGGACGACGTAAAATTCACATCGCCCGACGCTTTATTGCAAGGCCTGATATATATATATATATATATATATATATATATATATATATATATATATATATATATATATATATATATATATATATACATATATATATATATATATGTATTTATATATATATAAAATGTCATGAAAATTGTTTTGTTATAAAATTTATCAGTGCTACAAAAAAAAAAAAAAAAAACTCTTATTACATTAATTATGCTTTTGATGGAACTTTAAAAGAGTTAGAACATGATATAAAATAAATAAAAATAAAAATGATAGTAAATGGAAATGGTGATAATAACTGTTAGTAGTATTAAAAATAAACAAAACAGTAACAATAATGTATTACACAAAATCGAGATTCTAAAAATTTATTACATTGTAATAATAATTATGGTGATTACAGGGATTATCTTTTTCCGGATATTTTTCTCAACTTTCGGTTTTTCCAGATATTCAAAATGTTTTTCATACATACAAGTTTAGGTATATATTTTTAAAAATATATTTGTTATTTAAGCTTTTTTGCTCATCATTTATACAAAAAATAAGAAAAATTAAAAAAAAAAAAAGTAAATAACACAGTTATTAGCAAAATTAAGGGTAAAGTATATTTCAGATTTTTTCTGGATATTTTGCCCAAAGAATTTTCCGGATTCTTAAAATGTGACCAAGATGATCTATGCTATTATAATTTTATTAACTTAAATAATTTTTGTGTAATTGTATTTTTTTTTTGCACAAAAAATATAAGTTTCTTGTAATAATTCATGAGACAAATTAATTTAATAATCAAAATATTGAGCATATATGAGGTTATTGTCTTTTAATTACCTATATAAAGTTATATATGATTTTATATATTTAACTTACTCATAAAAAGTTACTATTTATATATAAAATGGATCCAAAATATCTTTTAATTATAATTTGATAGTTTATTTTGGTGTTTTACTTGATGTTTTTTTATCTAAATTTTATTTTGTACATTTAGAAGATGATATTTAAAATGCTATTGCAGCAAGCTTCTTGTGAAGCCCCATTATTTGATGTAAGTTTTTATTCTTTTTTCATTTTAATAATTCATATCTAACAAGGAGAGAATTTCACTAATGTTAGAGGAAAAAAAAATGAAGAACATTTTGAAGTAATATGTAGGTACAGTAACAGTAAATGGATGTGACTTTGCTGAATGACCTTTTTATGCAAGATAGATTTTTATGCAAGATAGAAAAAAAGTTTTCACTTCAAACCTATATATATTGATTTATTTTAGATTTAAAAAAATAATTTATAACTAAAAATGTTTATGGGAAGTGGGAGAAAGAAGTCTGCATTAAAAGAGAAAGTTTAAAATAGCACCAAGGTTTCTTGTGACTATTGTCATGCTTTGCTTAGCAACAAGATAAAATGAGTAAAGCCCCATTTAAAATATTGTAAAACGAAGTTTGAGCTTTTGCACAAGCATACAGAAGGTGACAATCTCAGTCTGTCAAAATGTTTGAATAAAAATTGTGATAATATATTTTCAAATAAGGGTTTAAATGTTAGTGTATCTGTTCTGATAGCTGGACCAAATGATAGTATCATCTCAAGTTAACTCTTTGGCATCTGTAGTTCTATAAGTTTTTTCAATATCTTGTAAGAAGCAATAATAGATGTCATCAAACACAATAGTCTTCTCCATTTAGCTAGCTCAAGTCTTTTCGTGTTTGTCCACATGTCTGCAAAAACTTTGGCGAGCGCATAAAAAAGTGCTTGCCAAAAAAAAATAAAAGGGTTTTGTTTTGAATTGCAACAAAAAATTTTTATATTCATTTGTTCAACTTTTTTGAAAAATACTTTTTTTTTTACTAGTTTTTTTTAAATTATTTTATCTAGTATTTATTTAAAGCATTCTTTTCACTATTTTTATTTTAATTTAAATTGCAGAAAAAAATGAATTTTTTTAAATCGCGCAGGCTAACTTAAAAAAGACTATCCTGCCCACGCTTTTTTGTGCGCTAGCATTTAATTTTAAACGAAGAAGACTGATCAACTAATATGAAACAGAAAGAAAATACTTTTATAAAAACAGCACAAATTTTTTTTAGTGCAAATGTAACATTTAAAACTTCTGAAAATGAAGAGTTTATAGACATGATTAGTTAATTAAAACCAGGATCTACCTAACTGATTGAATCTACCTAACTGATATGATTAGTTCATTGAAACCTGGATATAATCCACCTAACTGTAAAATGCTTAGAGAAGAGCTTTCGGAAGAAGTTTAATGAAGTAAACAACAAAATGATGAATTAGCTTATTTAAGAGGAGAAAACAATAACATTTATGCAAGATGGATGGAGTAGTGTTACTAATAATCAGTTTATTGCTTATAGTGCATATGGCGGACTTAAGTCTAAACTTATGAATAACTGATTGTGCATCAAATTAAAAAATAGCCAAGTATTGTACTAAACTCCTTTGAAATGTCATTAAAGATCTTTAGGAAACACACTAAGATATTATCAAACATGTGATTAAAGTGCAAAAATATTTTTGCTATACGCATCAATCATATGTAAATATTATTTAGTATTAGTGGATTATTAACTTTAAGTATGAAATATATATTAAAGTTTAAGATTAACTATTCAGTTTTTATTTTAAGGGTTGGTTACATGATAAAGGAGGGTATATGCCTCAGCTACCAAACCATACCAAGTAAAACTCCCAAAATGACTATATTGAAGTATACATCATGGTATACCTATGAAAATCAGAAAAATTATTAAAAACTAAGCAATAATAAGAAAATGCTAACAGTCTTCAAACCCAACTCACAATATTTGATGTTGTTTTAGATCAATATAAAATAATAAAATAAAGTCATTATGTCGATTAAATAAGAATAAATTTTTTAGATGCAAAGTGACAATTGTCACCTATCAGAACGTCTTTAGTTGTGGCTCTCATTGAACAACCCTGAACCAAATCATTACCTCACAGCTATCAAGAAAAGATTTAATAAAGCTATGACTCTTATCCATTATCTTGGATACACCATTACGCTTATCCATTATCTTGAACCAATCTTCACTTTTTGGTAAAAATAAGTTTTGAATGATACATCAAAAAAGTTGATAATCACAGTTATATGCTAATCGCAATTTAATTTTTTTTTTTCATAGGTAAAAACCTGATGCTTGAAAATGAAGATGAGGCAGAAGAATGGCTTTACAATCATTATTCTGATTTTGTAGTTATGTTGATTTTGTTTAAACTAAAAGATTGTGATGCATTTCCTACAAAGATGTTGAGCAATCAAATTATATTACCAATATTGTACAGTGATTCATGATCAATCATTAACCTGAGAAACTAGAAATCAGCTCAGCAAAAACTGCCTGAAGTGTTTTAAAAATTAATTTCTAAACTTCAAACATGCCTTACTAGCTTAGCATCAATAGAAAAAATATTTACCGTGTTAGGTTTTATCTGGTCAAAAGTTAAGAACAAATTAGGAAGTAAAAAGACAAAAAACTTGTGCAAATATATAGACAGCATCAAAAATAGATAGTTGGTTTTATAAAAAACATGTTAAAAATGTAGTTATAATTTTCGTCAAAGTGTATTTATTCTAAAAAATTTTATTGAAAAAATCTTTTAATTTCTTTGGTTTTCAAAAGTATTATTGTGAAAAAATTATTTATTAAAAATAATATTGTATATGGATTGAAACTTTCACTGATGTTTGAATAGTCTGACCCTTGTGTTCTTTCCTAAATTTACAATAATTACAAATATCTTTTTGATTATGGCATGACTTTAATAGCACTGAATAATTAAAGACTAAAGCCCTTGGATATATATATATCAACTCTCAGAGTAAGCTTCCTTTATCTTGCTTTCCTGATTCATATAATTTGCAATATTGACATCTGTCAATCGTTATCTTGCTCTACATTCTTCATCTTTTTTCTTCCAGTAACTTTCAACACTAATTAGTGGTTGCTTGCAGCCTTGTTGGAAGCAAAGATGTTTAAAAAAAAAAAAAAATGAGGTCTGCAATTTATTGCCAACTGTTAGAGGTCGATATCAGGTTGGCAAAAATTTTTTGATACATAAAAAATAGATATGAGGTCTGCTACGTATTACCATAAAACATAGATATGAGGTCTGCTATTACGTATGTATGTATCTTATATGAAATTTTATTGGGTTTTTATATAGTAGAAATAGTAGAAAGCATGAAACTTATTTATTAAAAAAGCTTTCAAAGCATATATTAATCTAGTAGTAAGCCATTTTGCACCGAGTGTGACTTTTTCTTTTGTTTAATAGTTCTCTTGAACAAGAGATTTCTATTAGTTTAAATTTGATTATATATTTATTTATTTTTTATTTATATTTTTATTATTGTTAATTATTTATATACAATACTATAACATTTTTCTGTTTTTAGTATGCAGTCAAAAAAGCAGACCCTAAAGATTTGAGAACAGTATTTAATAAGGTTTAATAAAATTTGTTTATTTTTATTTTCTAGCAGTTTTTCTTATCATTTAGTAAGCAGTCAATCTACCAAATAAAATGATATGAAAAAGATCAGCTTTTTTTAAACAATTTTTTTATGTAAAGTTGTATTTAATCAACAAGATTGTAATCATATATGTGCAATGATTATTATATACTACATAATAATCATAGTACTATGATATTATGTATTACAATTACTCAACCCAAGGTTTTATTTATTTTTCTCTTAGTTTATAGTTGTATTATGAACACCTAGTCATATAAACTGGTAAAGTGTTCATAAAAATTTATTCCTATATGAGTAATATTTAACTTATAAGGAGAAAAATTAATTATATATATTTTTTAAATCAACACTGCTATTTTAAAATACCTATTATTCTTTGAAATAGCAGCTTGTCAATCTACATTGTTTTCAGTTTCATTTTATCAAACACTGATTTATGTACTAATTTAATCAAAAAAAAAAGTTTTATCTGAAGTCACTTTCTAAACAAAACATTTTAAGTAATCAAAAAGACAGATTGCTTCAAAATATCTTAATTTCCTTTTTTTTTTTTTTTTTAATTGTTATTCGAGCTATCAAGAAGGCTATTTTAAAATACCTATTATTCTTTGAAATAGCAGCTTGTCAATCTCCATTGTTTTCAGTTTCATTTTATCAAACACTGATTTATGTACTAATTTATTACTTCAGTCAACATTCTATTGGGGGTGCATTCTTCTAGTGGGTTGTATTCTTCTAATGGGGTGTACTCTCAACACTAATTCAATGACACATCAAAATTAAAAAAAAAAAAGCTGTGAAATAGGCATCATACCTATAGCTTGCAGTAGGTATCATACCTACAACTTGTTTTTCATACGTTCTACAAAATGTATTGCATGCAGATAAAGTGTTTTTTAGTATTGCGAATTTTTTTCAATAAATTATAGCACAAAACTATTCTTTTACATGATATATTTTAAGACACCAACATATAAGGGATGCATTATCTATACTGTATTTGCAGCTATGACAGTAGACGTTTTTAAAACTATTTAGTTGTCTTTCTTAAGTAGTATAAAATTATAACTGTTTAGTCAAATGTGTTCATTGTAATCTAGAACTATGTTGGGCTTTTCACACTACTTCTGTTTGTTCCTACAAGCATCTAGCTTATACAGTTTTTCCAACTTATGCATTTTTTCAATATATTGTCTTAATACCAGATTTTTTTCTAATGTATCATTGATTTATGGATGATTCAAGGATTTTCCATTATAGTATGCCTTCCTTCAATTGCAAAATAACTACGGTAAAATAAAAATAAAATTAATTAGTACATAAAGTATTGGTTTTTGATTTAACATAGCATATATAATTATACTAATCTTTAAGAAAAAAGTGTAACAAATTTAATTCTTTTTAAAATTTTTTTTTTTAAATCCTTAATCAAAATTTATAATTTGCAGTATTTTTTTTATTGTGGAGTTGATCAATAAAATGAGTATAACTCTTAAAGTGAAATCAAAGTTATAATAATGTTATAGTTATCTAGTATACATTCTATTAAAGTCTAATAATACCAACAAAAAAAAAAAAAAAAATCCCAGTTTTTATATTATGGATTTGGTTATATACAGAACTATATATATATATAAAAATCAACTTTATATCTTAAGCATACCACTTACAAATTTTTATAACTGTTGAACAAATATTACATTTGGGTGACATGAAAAATAGAAAAGAGTTAAAAAGATTAAAAACAATGAAAAATAACAAAGAGTTTGAAAAGGTCATGCAAAAAGTTATTGGAGATATTGAGATTTTTTAAATCATAAAGACTTACACACTGTACGTTTGCATGTTGTTTGTTGGTTATCACAACAAAACTGAAATTATTAAATTTTACTTTTTATGGTTTTAGAGTTTTTAATTCAAAATTGTAGGATTACTAAGGGAGCTCAGAATGTTATTTTTTGCTTGCACTTTAAATTTTTAAAATAAAAACCTTTACTAAAATAAAGAAACATACTGGCTTGATTAACAAGTAAGTTAATTGTAATTGTAGTTATTAAATTGAATTGATGAATCATCTACTTTTATAATCAGAATCTGAATATGTATGGCTATGATTTTACCCTTTTTCTTTTAATCCAATATAGGTTTAGATGCCTCTCAAACCTGTGCAAGAACAACAATATTCAATTTTGAAAAGTTTTTTAAATTTTTTTATTTACAAAGAACAGTCATTTTTACAAAAAGATATGTTTGTGATAACTTTAAACCCTGCTAATATAACGTCAAAATACTTCTTTTAAATTGATATAACTACAAAATCTTCCATAAGTTAAAAAAATTATAAACAAATCTTTTTGTTGTTTTATAATTGTGTAAGTAAATAATTAAGTACAAACCTTTTTAAATGAAACTAAAGAATTAAATTTTTATTTCTGTTTTGACTGGCAATGGTATTAATGTATCAATATAAAGTTATTATATATTATATATTATCTATTATATATTATTGCTGAACTTAATAGTAGTGTTAATAGTAGTAGTGCGCTTTCAAGCCTGTTTGACACGGTACCCTTGGCACCCATTGCGAACAAGGTAGTGGTGAGAAAGAGTCGCAGCACTTTGTTTTATAAGAAAACATGAACAAACGCGTATCCAAATATCTAACATACGTAAACTTTAAATTAAGTAATGTTAAAACATACTGAAACATTTTTCATGTTTGATTTTCACTTGAAAATTGCATTGTGTCAAGCTCTCCTTATTTTTAATCCCTTCCCTTCCCTTCTCCTTTCCCTTTCCCTTCCCTTCTCCTTATTTTTAATCCCTTTTTTTAATTCCCTTTAAAAATCATTACATTGTTTTAAAAATATTCGCTTGAGTATGTGCCAGTGTGACCAAGTGGATAAGGCGCCAAGCTTCTGAACAAGTAAGTCGAGTTAAATTCCTACCAATGGCAACTTTTTTTTTTTTTATTTTATTTTTTTTTTGATCATTTTAAAATACAAAATACTTTTGAAGTTTTATAAAGATTATATACAAACATATGTAATGTATCGATGTTATACACTTTCACAAAAGAAAAGATTTTAAGAAAGCTAAAATTTCATAAAACATAAAAAAAAAACATCACCGAAAGAAAAAATTTGGTGCATATGTATGATAATTGACACTTATGTTATTAATGTGCTCAGGTAATTAGTCCTAATAAGCTGCAGATGGTCTGAAAAATTTTCTACATTAAGTTGTCTGCAACTTAATGAAGAAAAAACTTGATAAGAAAGTCATATATGCTGAAACTATTTTTTCAAAACGCTTTAATATGCTTATTACGCATTTCAAGAAAAACGCAATTAAAAAAAATTGTTAGGAGAAACTCTTTGTAAAATATTTTTTGAAACGAATAATTTTTATGAATTTTTTAAGAACTCTTTGAAAATATATATTCAATAACGTTTGTAGGCACTAAACTATCTTATTTTGTAAAAAGTCCAAATTTTAAAAAAGATTTTATTTTTCTTAAAGTGTTTAAAAAACAGCTGCAGAATGGATGATGCAACCAATATGTTGAAATGAAATAAATTGACTCAAAAAGCTCTTAACAAATGGCACTAAACCAAAAAAATTAAAATGTAATTGCAGTTCAGTGCATTAAAAATTTTAAGTATACTATGTCGGTGTTTGCAAAGAAACATATTAATAGTTTTTTAATTTAAAACTAATTTTTTTAAATTTTTATTGTATAGGTAGGTTTGGCGCTTAACCATCCCTATATAAACGATATACATAAACAAATATGTTATTTGTTTAAGTATAATATTTATAAAATGTAAAAAATCTACTTATATAACGTTTTATTCAGGATCGTATGTAATATAAGTTAACTTTTCTAATAATTACAAGTCTTTTTTGGTCAACCTGTTTTGTTTTGATTTTTTGGATGTTATTATATTTAAAAAAATTGACAAGATTGAAAAAACACAAAATGTATTGTCTCATCCAAGTGGAAAATTCGAAACTTCAATTTTAGATTTGCCCCACTCTTGATAATTTCTGATTTCTAAAATTACGTTATCTGCTTCTTAGACTGTTAAAAATGATAGACAAGGCTTTTTTGTAAATTGTAGAAGCCACAATTTATTAGTGTCTGTGACATCACTTTGTCGTAAAAAACTAGAAAAACAAGAAAAATTTGATTTAAATTTTTTTAAAAATCTCCTTCTATTAAAGATAGAAGAAATATATTTTTATGGGATATATTTTAATAAAGACAAAAACTATTTATTTATAACTATTGTAATAAATACCACCTCTTATCCATGAAATGATATATCTGTACTGGTTTTGCATATTTTTATGCAATTGTATGCAATAATTAAAATTGATCAAAAAATATAAGATGCAAAAAAAAAACTTGATGCATAAAGGTTTATTTTGCCACAAACCGACATCAATGCGCAAAATATTTTTGGCTTAACTTTTTGATTTGCGTTAAATAGCTAAGGCTATATTATTCTTTAGTTTTTAATAATATTCATTAGAATGCACTTTTTTTTCATGACTATATTTTAGTGATCTAAGATCTTATTAGTTCCATTTGTATAGCGTTACGTGCAAACATTTGTAAATGTAAACGTCTTTAACATATGTTGAGTTTGCATGCATTATATAGAGATAATCACATATAATATCTATTGAGAAAACTTGAAAAGTTTATTTTAAATTTAAGAAATCTTTTTTTCTACATTATTATTTTTTTGTTATAAGTATATAAGCATTATTTAAAAAATTTCAGAGTTTATTACGCTGAGGGAAAGTCTTTAACCCCCAAAACAAAATTGATGACAGCGCACTTAACTACTGAGCTATCAAATGAAATGGATTTAGTAGAAAAATAAATCTAATTATTTGTCTTTTATAAGCTCTACATTTGCGAAAAGGTGCACATGTTAAGTTTTTTACTCTTGAATGTTTTTTTTCTGAATAAATTGTTTTACTAAAATATATTGAATTAAATAAGGAATAGGCATATAAATAATCAGTGCAGAATAGATATGGATAGAAATGGTAGGCTTGTAGGCTTGGTTAAGACCCGTATTTAACGGATCCAAAACACTAGGATGTATAGGGAAAAAGTATAGAAAAGGTCGGTTTGGAATAGACTTGCAAAGACCCGTATTTTTACGGGTCCGATCTCAGCTAGTGTATAAATATTATAGTGTATATATAAAGTATCTTAATGTTTTACTAGCAGTTAGCAACCTGTAATACGCGTTGTTAGTAAATAAAATTAAAAAAAACCGCGTATAGAAAAGCCTAGAAACTACTTTAAAATAAAAAAGCCTAGAAAATGACGTAATTCGACTAATAATATTAAATTAGCATATTAATATTATCAGAAGATTAATAAAAAGCTTTTAAATTGATTTGCTTCAAATTGTGTTAAAAATGGTTTGATAATATGTTGTTATCTAGTCAATAATGAAATGTCATCCAATTATTTTTCTTTTAAATAAATGTATCATTGTTTTAAAACAATTTTAAATTAATATTATCATATCAAATATTTTAAAATCTCTTCATTTAAATAGTATATCTTTATTTAAAATAGTATGCTACCATTGAGAAAGATGGTGAGCGTTTTATGTCACCCACTGCTCTTGTTAGAGACTTTTTGCTCATGGATGGTGCATTTGCCAATGAAAAAACACTATCTCTGTTATCAGGTGTTGTAAACCAATCAAAAGATGGGTAATGAATAACAAGTTTTGATTTAATTCTAATGTTAACCAAACATGTATATATATATATATATATATATATATATATATATATATATATATACATATATATATAAATGTACAACTCTCGGAATTAGCATCAGCATTTGGCAATGCTGACCTTACTGCCGACCTAAAAGTGTTTGATGTCGGCCAACCTCATTTTTCGTAATTCCGAAGGTTGAATGTATATACTTATATAAGTATGTATATATATATATATATATATATATATATATATATATATATATATATATATATATATATATATATTTTATAATTATTCACCCCCCAAGGCTTTAGTCGAGGAGGCTACTATTTTTTTTTGTTTTTTATTTTTATTTTTTGTTTATAAATTGTGGTACAACCCTCTCTCAACTCTTTAACTCCGAATCACGAACCTTGACAAGCAAGGCTGCTGCGCAGAGAAATTAAGTTGAGCACGGTACTTCCAGGGACATGGTGGGAGTCGAACTTCGAACCTCTCGTTTACGAAGCGAGCGCTCTTACCACTACACCACTACCGCATATATATATATATATATATATATATATATATATATATATATATATATATATATTCGATAATTCTGACCTAACTGCTGACCTAACAGTAACTATAGTTGGAAAAAAATTAATTTTCAAAATTAGTTTTATTTGATTGTGGAGAAACAAATGCTTTATTTAAATTTAAATAAAATTATTAAAACAAAAACAGAAATACGAATGTTTTCTGTTCTAAATAAAATAATTGAAATAAAAACAAAAGTGCAAACGCATCATTTAAATTTAAATCAAATAATTAAAAAAAAAAGGCAAATCAAGCGTTTTATATTCTATGTAAAATAGATAAAATAAAATCAAAATTTTTATTTAAATTATAAATAATTATTTATATTAATGAAATAAATTCTTATGCATAAAATTCTAAATAAATTTATAGTGATTTAAAATTGCTTTAAAGTTTAAATAGCTTAAGGTAAGGCTTTAAAATGGTCAGTTATAAGTAAAAAAAAAACTTTATATGACAGCTTTTAAATGAGAAAGTTTTTGCTAGCTGGATAGCTTTTAAATAAGAAACTTGCTTGGCTTTCTAGTTTTACTAGTGAGCCAAGCAAGTTTTTATTTACCAGTAAGTTTAGTTTACTGAAATTATTTTTATTTCCTTTAATGTAAAAACACTAATAACTTATTTTAAATATATTATTTATTATTTATTAATATGCAAAGATTTTTGCAATTTTCCTAACAAAGCAGTAAAAAAAGTAAATAATAAGTTTTAAAATAATGAGAATAAATAAAAATAATAATTTATTAGACAAAAATTTAATCTAGAGAATAACTGATGTCAATTAATTTTTTTTTTTAAGTTTTAAATAAATGATCTGTTTTAAATAAATGTTTGTTAATGACAACATTAAATATGAATCAATCAACTTAATTTATCTTTTATCAGGCGTAATAATTTCATTTTTACAATGATCTTTTGAACCTTTGGGAATTTTAAACTAATTGGGAGTTCTGTGTTAAACGTAGTGCCACCAGGCTGGCCAACTTCCTGTATACATATCTGATTTATTTGCATTTAAAAACAATACTGAAGGAGGGGGGGGGTGATACAAGTAATATAAAAATTACTCTTAAGTAACACCGAATAAAAAAACCAAGTATATGTAGTGAGCAGTGGTGATGAACATTGTACTTTTTTAAATTTAATTTGAACAAAGGCAGGGTGGCTGAGTAAACATTTAATCAGGAAGAGAATTTCAAATATTAATGTTTTTTTTTGCAAAAGAAAAATCTATGTGTGTTGTTATTACATTTGCTATTATGTGGAATAAGTTTTTAGGCATGATATCTTGTAGGGTAGTTAGAAGGTGCAAGTGTAGAAAACTCAGAAAAAGGTAGATCTATAAGGTGGTTTATAATTTTTTATGTCATTATAAGGTCAAATTTTAGGCATGATATCTTGTAGGGTAGTTAGACCTTATAATGACATAAAAAGAGAGATTAAAGATTAAGGATGCTGAATCTTGAGGTATAATCTTTATAAGGAATACAAGATCTTTTACAGACAATTCTGTGCTGCTGTTATAAAAGCAAATTGAAGATACTTTAAAAAATCAAAAATTTAAAAATATACTGAAAGACTTTTTAAAATGTCTTATGTCTTATATTTTGTTGAGCAAATGATTATATTATTGTAAACAATATGAGTAGTTAAAAGTGATTTGGAAAGTCTATTTTTTAAAAAAATTATCGAAAATATATAATTATGATTTCCAAAATAATCTCCTTTTTTAAATATGATAATTTTATTATAAATAATATAAATAAACACCTATGATGCAGGCTTGGTCGGGAAGCAGGTGCGATCGCACCCGATAATTAACCACGGAAATAATATTTAGTTGCGAAAAACCGGCCAGGTTTTTTAGTCGTTTTGAGAACATTTCAAAAACAAACAAAAAAGCGCAATAAGATTAACTGGACCGATGAGAGACAGTTAAAAAAAGAAAAATAGCTTTTAACTGCGAAAAAACTTTAAGTAAAATAAATACGATTAGAGCAAATATTTTTGAAACGTCGCTCTTTTATATTTTTTTTTATAAAATCAAGTGACATTTTTTAAATAAAGTAACAACTTATTAAAAATGATTGTTTAATAAAGACACAAGTTATTTATCCGATTTATCAAAGAGTATATATAATTTTTATTTATATCTTGTCTTATTTCCACTGCTGGATTGAGGAGGGGGGGAGTAGAAAGGCTATAGCCTCAGGACTCACAATGTTAGGGGCCGCGAAATAGTCAAGAGGACCATTCGGTATTTTTTTCAGTCATTTTTACGCTGTGGCACATAATAAAGGCCACCAAAATAGTGCAGTTCCCGGCCCTGAAAAGTTCAACAAGATTAAACTAATAAAACTAACGCTAGATGATTTATTTATAAATAAAAAAGTTTTTTCAATAACTGTTTTATGCTTTGCGTAGTTTGAAAAATTTAACACATTTGAAACAATTTTTCTTAGTATACTAAGAAAAATTGTTTCAAATGTGTTAAATATCTTATAAGATGAACAAATGAAATAATTAAATCGTTGAGTTTTTGTAGAAATTCAATTAGCTAAATAGAAATTAACTAAAAACATTAAATTACTATGTGAGGAGGAAGCGAAATTACTTCACAATAACGCTGATTAGTGGTTTTTATAATTTTAATTAGTATTAATTTAAGTTAGTGGGCTTTATAATTTTAATTAGTATTTAAAACAGAAAAAATTAACTTTAAGTTTAAGTATAACGAGTTTGTAAGAATGGCTGAAGCAAAAATAATTAAAGTTAGTAAATTAAAAACATTTATTTTTGTAAACAAATAATGTTAGTTTTAAACATTTAGTGGCGTTCCTAGTTATGGTGTCACCTGGGGCGGCAAATAGGGTGTCACCCATATATTATATGTAATTATTTTTATATAAAAAATTATTAAAGCAGTATTTAGAAACGTTGACACATGTAGTTTTAAACCTTGTTTTCGACAATAATAATTTAGTGTCTATAACTCTCTATAAATAATTATCGTCTATAACAGAGAAAATAATTATTTGAAAATAAATTGTTGCCAAATAATTATTATCTCTGTTTTAGACGATAATAAATTATTATCATCTAAAATCATCTAAAATCAGCTTTATTCTTTTATATGCTTAAAAAAACAGTAGTACCTGGATTTGATTTGATAGTAAAGTATAATAATAAAATAGCAAACCTACTGATTTTTTAACTTCCTATCTGTAAAAAATAAGTTAAACGTTCACTTGCCCTTTGTTAAATACGCAGATCTGTCCTATAAATGAATCTATGCCACTGATGTGTTCATGTATAAAAACATATTAATGTACTTAATTATTTACTATCTATATGAACTAAATATATTTTTTTAAATAATATGCACAAAAGTTTGAACTTTGTATAGTTTTTATTCACTATGCAATTACTACACTAATTTTTAATCACAAAACTAAATTTTTCAATCATTAAACTAAATTTTTCAATCACTAAATTATTTTTTTAAGCACTAAACTAAATGTTTTTATCACTAAACTAAATGTTTTTATCACTAAACTAAATGTTTTTATCACTAAACTAAATGTTTTAATCACTAAACTAAATTTTTCAAAACTTTTAATCATTATATAATTATTATCCTGAATTTTCATAACACTTTCTTTAATCTTTCAAATGTTCCTTTTCTTACTTTTAAACTTGCAAATTTATCAATTACGTTATCAAAGTCAATGCATTTGACAAACTCACTCTATATATAATATTGCAAGATCAGAAAGTCTTGATTGGCCCATAGTTGATCGTAAATATTTTTTTATCAGTTTTAATTTTGAAAAACTCCTTTCCCATGATGCAACGGACATGTAAATAGTTAAGAATAATCTTATTAAGGTAAGAGAAAGCATTGAAAGCGTTTCTGTGAAGTCCCATTCTGTGATGAAAGTCAAAATATCTAAAGCTGTCCAACTTTAACTACTTCCAAATTAATTCCTGCTGCTTTAAAATATCGCTTGAGTCGTGGAATTTCCAAAATTAGTTCATCATGGGATATTTCATTATAAAATGAAGTTAATTTTTTAATAGATAACGTCAAGTCTTCTTCATTATTATGTTCAGAAACTAAAAATTTAGCTTGGACACATTCAAACATATCTAAAATATTTTTTAATGGTTTTGATCTTGCTTGAAGTTCAACATTTAGACGATCAATACATTCATACATAGTTCTTTTATTTTCTTCTTCTATTGTGAGTTTAGTATCACATACCAATTCTCCCGCCATCTTCTTTCTCAATCTTATTTTTCTCTTAATTGGAATATCGTGTTCTTTTGATGCACAAAGTGCTTTATTTAGTGCCTTGTCAACTACATTTTGCCTTTCTTCGTTTAAAAAAAGACTAAGAGCTTTTTATTATAACTTTATCAAGAGATAGACCTTTTGTCTGTAGATAAATTTGAGTATTATTTACTTCTTCCAGTATATCGTGCCAAAAATACAAAAAGCATAAAAATGTATATTGACACACTGCTGGCAAAAGAGATTCAGCTGCTACTCTTGTATCTAAATTTTCATTGGTACTGCAAAGAGCTTCAATTGCTTCTATAAATTTTTCAAGTTTCTCTTGAAGAGGTTTTACGGCGTTATAAAGTGCACTCCAACACGTGGTCGACAGTCTTTTCACTGATATATTAGTATGCTTTATTAACACTTCCCACCTATGCATAGAAGCAGCAAAAAATGAATAAATTGCATCAATTGTTTCGAAAAATGTGACACAAGATGCATTTACTGCAAAAGAATGCCGACCACATAAATTTATAGAATGATCAATACATCCATTAAAAATTGCCTTATTATTTTTATCAGAAATAATTTTCTGTACACCTCCGTGGATTCCAGCCATTGTAGCAGCATCATCATATCCCTGGGAGCGGCACATCATTATATCTAACCCATCAGATTCTAATTGTTTAAGTATTTCAGTACTTAAGTCTAGAGCCTTTTTTCCTTTTAATGGAAAAAATCCTAAAAACGCCTCTTTTATTTCTACCTTTTTATTTTCAATTTTAATATATCTGATCACCTCAGACATTTGATTCACGTGAGATATATCAGGAGTGCTATCAAACATCATGCCAAAATATCGCGCAGATTTTATTTCTTCAATAAGTTTGTCTTTTACGTGACTTGCCAGACAACTGATAAATTCATTTTGAATTTTTGGGGAAAGATACGAAACCTTGGAATAACTTTCCCTTAATTTAATTAAATGCTCCTTTAATTTAGGGTCATATGTTGAAAGCAAATCCACTAATTCTAAAAAATTACCTTTATTCAAAGATGATTCATCCTCCTGATGTCCACGAAACGGCAAATTTTGCTTAGCAAGAAACAAAGTTACATCTAAGAGCCTATATAATATGTTTCGCCATTTTTTCTTTTCATTTTCTGTAAAAGAAATAATTTCGGCATCGATTGTATTATTGGATTTAAATTTGTTTCCAGAATCTTCCATTTTACCAAAAATTGCAAATGATTGTCAGATGGTTCATACTCATATACTTTTGGATTTAATTTCCACCATTTTTGAAATCCAGTGACGAATTTTGATGTCAAATTGGTAATATTACTGGCAAATAATCGACAACAAAAACAGTATAATATTCCACTGTTGGGTGAATATACCATCCATGAACGTAAGATTTTTTCACCATTTTTTATTTATTTATAAAACCATTCAGAGGAAAGGTGACGATCATGGCCTTTCATTTGAGTGACATTTCATTGTACTACATTAAATGGTCCATCTTTGTTTTGAAATGTAGAACTTCCCTTTTTAATAATCTCAATTCAAAGATGGTCTTGAAGCGGTAATTTCCAAAAAGAGATGTCAGAAAAGATTTTAAAGTTAGTTTTTCCATCATGTTTCTCTAAATCGGTGATTTCTAATACTTGTGGAGATTCAGCTTCATTTTCTTGGTCGTTTTTTTCCATGTCAACAGTGAAGGTGCTATTATTAGAAGCTTCATTTTCTTCTACTACTAATGGAGTTTGTATCAAAGTACTATCTTTTGAAGAACATTGGCCGTCATTTGGGTTATCTATGTATTGAAGTATTGACCCTGCATATTTTTTAAGGGATTTAAGTTTAGCTTCCTTTATTTTTCTTTGTTGATGTCCACTTAATCTCTTCATTTTATGCACCCCACGCGGCATTGTTATACAAAATATTTACAACTTTACACTAAATGTTAAAACAAAATTTTAAAACTTACAATTTAAGCACTAAAAACATTTTAAATTAAATATTGTTTATTAAGCACTAAAAACAAAAAATTAAAACAATTAATAATATACGATATTGTTTCAAAATGTATCTATTACAAAGTCATTTATAGCTTTGTAGATGTGGCTCCGAGAATTAAAATAATAGTTCGTTTGATATTATATTCTGAAAACAATTTATGCTAGAAATCTCAACGAAATCATAACAAAACTCAAATAATACAATTTTTTTAAATATTTCAACAGAATACTCTAGAAATTTTGGTTAGTATTTTTTTAACCAATAGAATTAGTTGTTTGTAGATTTGGCGGGTTTTTTGTGTTTTTTTTTTTATTTTTCTGCACAAAAATGTTTGAGAACATTCGAGTTTATGTATGTTTCCATGTATGTCCGTAAACAAAATGTTTAGAAAATTACGATAAAATAATGAACTTAATTAAGGAAACATACATAAATTTAAATGTTCTCAAAACGACTTAAATATCTGGCCGGTTTTTCGCAACTAAATATTATTTCCGTGGTCAGTTATCGAGTGCGATCGCACCCGCTTCCCGACCAAGTCTGATGATGAGAAAAGTCTAAATTTTTTGTTAAATTTATTAAGTGAACTTTTGATCAATAGTATATATATATATATATATATATATATATATATATATATATATATATATATATATATATATATATATATATATATATATATATATATATATATATATATATATATATATATATTAGGTTGATTTCATTTCATGAATTTCAAGCATTTGAAACTTTGCTTTGCAAGCCTGATGCAAAATTTCGAGTTGTTTTTGAAATGTTTGACAAAAACCGAAAAGGATCAGTTACATTTGGTAAGTTTTTTATCACAATTTATAACTATTTTATTAGTGTTTTCTTGCGTGTTTGATTGATGTACTTTCGAATATTAGATGAATTTAAAAAGGTGTTTGATAGTCAGATAAATGCGCAGAAATATCCATTCAATTATGAATCAGAGTTTATAAAAAATTACTTTGGTGCTGAAAAAGATGTGCAAGTCAACTATCATGAGTTTACACAGCTTATTACTGTAAGTTTCTTTTATTTATTTTGGTTATTTTTTCTAGTTTTTTTATTTTTATTTTTACTTTTTGTTTTAGTTTTTTTGTTATTCTATCTTATTAAAATATTATTATAAATTTTTATATATCCTCTTTTTAATATATCTTTGTATATATTTCAAGGTATCAAAAATATATATATATTTTATGATTAAGTAATGATTGAGATTTAAAAAAAATTTTAGTAAACAGAAATGTCAGATTTCACTTTGCTGCATAATGTTAGCAGTTCTAAATACTTAGTTCATTGTATTTCATTACTGCATTACTGCACTGGGGTGAGCTACTAAACTAGGGTTGGCTACTGCACTGGGGTGGGCTACTAAACTGGGGTGGGCTACTGCACTAGGGTGGGCTACTGCACTAGGGTGGGTTAATACACTAAGGTGGGCTACCAATTTTTTTACAACCTACTTGTTATTATTTCAGGCAAAAATTAAAAGGGGTATATGAGTACATTGACTTTATTTATTTTTGTACAGTATAATATATAATATATATAACAAAACAAAACATTTATTACACAAAAAACCTGATAAATTTTAAATTTAACATACTATGCTATATATATATGCATAATTAATTAATGTAGAGTTTATTGCCTTGTTCATTTGCAGAAACATCATTATTGTACCCTTTCCTGTTGCTAACCTGTCATTCTAGGATGTAACAAAAAAATGGCATCAAAATTTAGTATTGGTTTCCGCAATAAATTTATTGTCATATTGAACATATGTTTCACTGGTAAAGTTGGTTCTTAATTTTGAAGCAATTAAATTCATAAGGCCTCCATTTTTTCACCAGACCTCTCTCAGCTTCTGAACTGCTAACAGCAATTATAATAATAGCTTGGCGTTTTTTAAGACTTTTAAATTAAATTAGGTAATTCTAGTGTTCTCATTCTCATCCTCTTCCATATTTATGTAGATGAGGATTAGAATGAGAACAATGGCTAGTCGATAAAAGTCTTGCCTACATATTCTTTGCCTTTTTGCATTTGATAATATTGACTTTGCCTTTTTGCATTTGATAATATTGAGGATATCTATCATAAAAGCTAAATCTTCAATAAAATGTGTATTAGCAAATCTTTTGGCCATTGCTAAACTTGATTTGGACTGGATAAAATGTTAATACAGCACTGGGTGTGCTGGCCTCACCGCAGCAGCTGCTCGTAAGCTACAAGATGCCTCACACGGTCCAAATTTGCAACCAATTTTTATTATTTCTAGGTTCAATACACTAGAAATAGTTTCTAATTCAGCTTGGCTTTTTTTTACTAATGATATATTGCATATATTTTGTCTGAAAATATTTTTAAATGACATGCCACACGATTATATTTGAACACATTTCAGTTAGTTTTATGGCCACTCCATATTTTCTTCCTAAGAATATCGATGCTTCACCTAAACAAAAAGTTTTTTTTTGTAAATCAAATGCATAGTCAATAAAACAGTCTATTAATGTCATAAAAATATTTTTCGACAGTTGTTGACATCATTTCTTTTAAATCTACAAAAATCGTGACAGGTTAAAGTGCTGACTTCAACACTTAATGAGAGGTTCAAGTGCTGACTTTAACACTTCACAAGAGGTTCAAGTACTGACTTCAACACTGTTAAAATATTATAAAAGTACTTTTTTTAAGTAAGTGTTGCAGTTTCATGAATTACTATACAAATTTTTGAATTTTGATTGATAATGTGTTTAAAAATTTTAAACACATTATCAATCATAATCAGTTTTTTGTATCATGATATGTAAACTGTTTGATAAGTTTTGCAGTAATGTTAATTGCTTTAGAATTTAATATTTTAACTACATTTGGGAAAACTTGCTTGTTAGATTGAATAATTGCTTCTTAAATTTTAACTTGCTTGTTAGATTGAATAATTGCTTTTTTTAAATGCGAGGATGAAGTGGATCGTTCCTGAAATTTTTTGCGTAAGTCTTATGTCTTTGTTAATTTCATGAGGAGTTGTTAAAAATAAAATCCAATTATTTAATATGTAAGTCTTTATAACTTAATTTACCTGATGCTCACCTCTAACTGTTTAAAGATTTATTTTTCCTAATTTCAAGGGCATATATCTGCAGGATTTATTATTCTCTCTAGTATTTACAAAAGACAATCAATTATCTTTAGTTTTGTTTTTTTGATATTTACAAAAGACAATAAATTTCCTTGCACTCACACCTTTTTTCATATATTAAAAAAAAAATCCTTTAAACTAGTGCTACATTGAAATGTAGTGAATCTACAGTAAGAAAATTTTAAGTTGAGGTGCTGAAGATGAAAAAGCTGCTATAAAAACCATAATAAAAAACATTCATATACAAAAAACTATAGAAGTTAGGTCTTACAAAATATGTTTCATTTTCCCTTTATTTTTCAATAAGAAAAAAATCTAATATTCAAATACTGCCATTATATTCACATAATTTTTAGATGAACTTGGAATTTATATTATTCACAAATGATAATTTATAATTGTCTATTTATGTAAATTAATGGGTAATAAGACCCACCTAACAAACTTTTGGTCTTCTAAAACAAAATATGGTTATTTTACAAATTTAATAGATTACTATGTAAAATAATTTATTTCTACATGTAAGTATAGTAATTTATTTATTAAAATGTGGATATTGTATAATTTATTCATATTTTTCTAACATACCCTCAATGGGCTTTATTATCCTCACTGGAGGACAAGAAGATTCAGTTTAGTAATACTATAAAATATCAAGAAATAATAATAAGTAAATAATAATTAACTGTTTAATATTATAACATTAATATAATATAATCAGAAAAGCTCATTAATAGCAACAAAATGAAATAAAATAAGACAGAAAAATAGCATTATTAAAATTTTATAAATGTTAACTTGGAAATAGTAACTATTTGTCATCTTCAGAATTATATTTAATGCATTGTTTATGATACCAAACACTGGACTTAAAACACTGTCACATACTCTCCATAAAGTTTTCCTGGCATAAAGAACAAAATCAATCATTCAAATCCACTGAAGTTACAGGCCTAATTTTGTTAACTTTTTTTGTTCGTTTGCTTTTTTTTTTTGTTTTTTTTGTTTCACTTCCTTACTGCCAGATTGTGCAAAAGCTTATTTTGTCTTTAGCAACATATTTGAAGCTTTTTTTACAACTAATTATTGAAATTTTTTGACAGGACTTACCATTAGCTTTGTGAAACTTTTATTAAGCTTGAACTTGACTGAGTGTGTCAGGTTGGTACAGTTGTCTGACAGCAGTCATATATGGTCCAGGTTGGTGTAGTTGTCTGACAACCGCAATATATGGTCCAGGTTGGTATGGTTATCTGACAGCAGCCATAGATGGTCCAGGTCTGTACAATTTTTTGACAGCAGCTGTAGATGATCCAGGTTGGTTTTCTAAGCTTACATCTGACAATGATCCAGGTTGATCATCTAAGATTGAATCTAATATAATATCTAAATCATTCTGACTAAATGGTAGATCATCATTTGCTGAGACAATGCTGGGGGAAAATGCTGAATCAGGAATTACCTTCTTTTTAAAAGGATAAATTCTAGCAGTTCTAAATCCACTAGTAATATTAGTTATTGACATACCTTTGTTCCACACAAGTGTAAAAATCTTTTTAAACATAAATTTTTTAAATCTTTCTATCTGGATTTGTTCTCTATTATTTGAGAATTTCTTTGTCTCAATTTGTTTCAAATGTTTTGATAACAAGTTATCTAAAATTGAAATTCATGTGTTGTTTTGCTTGGTAAGCAAAAAATGTGAATATCATAGCTTTCTGCTATTTCAACAGTATCAACACTAATGTGTGAAGCAGCTCCATCAACAATTAGAAGAAAATCATTGCATTTAAATTTGTTGAAATGTTCTAACAAGAGCAAGAATGACTCAATGGTCATTGATCCCTTCTGAGTCATCATTGGCATAGCGCTATGTGGCAAATTATCTTTATATTCTTTTTTCATTTGTATTTCTTTTAAAAGAACCATTAGAGGTATTACAGTACCCAGAGCATTTGCACACCCAACAATTGTTACATTTTCAGCATGTCTTCCCCTTTATATATATATATATATATATATAGGGGAAGTGAGGGCATAACTGCTTCCATAATATTTAGATTGATGTTATATGAAAATAAAAACGAAATGTATTTTTTCAACAGTTTATTTAAATAACCACATTATCAAGCTTTAAATTGTTGCAATTAGAAAAAAATTATAACGGTTTTTGAAAATTTTATTACACAAAAAGTACACTTAGTTGAAAAAAACAGTTTTACCCCTATTGTGAGGTACAACAGCATCCTCACAAAAATTGTTGGGGGCACACCTTTCATTTTCTTTACAATTTTCACAGCTCAGATTATTTTATGATTTTGTTGCATCTTTGCATACTGTGCAGGCTTTGTATTTACATTTTGAATTCAGCTCCAGAAGAGAGGTCTGCCCCAGAAGAGAGTTTGTAGAAAGAATTCAGTTTCATAGCTTGTTTATTAGATTATGTTGATATTAAAAATGGTTTTCATTTGATGAAATAACGCTGATAACACATATCTTTAACACTTAAATCAACTTTTGCTCTATCTTAGAAAGAAAGATATGGAAAAATATGATGTAAAAATAATATTTTTATCAAAATAAACATTATTATGCACAACTTCTCAGAAACGCATCAGGCACTTTTTTTGACAAAAGCGAAATGAAAGAAACTGTTTTACCAATGAGTGATATGTTTTTTACCATATTAGATAACATTTTTCAAAGGGAAATGTTAAAAAACGGTTGTGCCTCCATTTGCGGTATGCCCCCACTTCTCCTATATATGCATATATAAACATCATTATGATCATTATAGTCATCATCATGATCATCATCATCATTATTATCATCATCATCATCATCATCAACAGCATAAAAGAGGAAGGCTAAAGCCTGATCATGATGATCATGATGATCATCAATTAATATTAGTTTTTTTTTCATCTTTTTTACAAGAACATCTCTCTTAAGAACAATTGCCCTTTATTATTGCAAGAAACCAATGTAAAAAAGTCCTGTCTGATGTTAAGCTCTGTTATTCTCAGTTTACTAAATCTTGTATCTTATCTCAGAGGTTATAGAGATTTTTGATTAGTCTTCAACAGTAGCATTAACTAAAGTAAGTCTAACATTTAATCTCTAATTCATAGGTCTGATCTTTTTACTTCTCCCCAGAATAAAGCAGAGTTATTTGCAAAGAAATCTTACTCTAATTTGACTCTTCAATGTAATGAGCATATTCTTCCTGACAGTTGAACAGATTAACCCATTAATAAAAATCTATATCCATCTGGCTTCCAATACCAAAGTTAATTCTCAATTAAAGACTTCTACAGTTTGCGCTACAGAATAGATTTCCATCATAGTCTTAAAAAAGTGTTCTCCAGAACTCTCTTTAATTTTTTCTAAAATTTTAAAAAGTGCTAAATAAGTCATTTATTTACAGTTAAAAAGTATTGCAATTTTGTTGGCGTTTCTATATTGACAAATAACAACCCTCTTACTAAAAGCAAGTCTAGTCTAAAAGCACATTATAAATGTAATTAGAACTGCTTTATCTGCCAAGCTTGAGCCGCTCTCTAATTGTTGTAAGGCTGCATTTTTTTTTCTTTCTACAAATACAATCATGGTCAAACGAGCTATCATCTCTATAACGATAAACCAAAACTCATTCTTGCTTAGTTTTTTATTCAAAAGTTGCATCCTTATACTGTATATATCCTTTCATGCTATAAAAGCTTTTATTAATCCAGTTTTTTTTCCTTGAACATCAAAAAAAACCTTATAACTCTTACCCATCCTCATGTTTTCTTTTTTTATACAACTTACAACTTTTTTAAACTTTAATTATACGTTCCCTAGTATTTTAACTTATTATCTGTTTTAAAGTAACTCATAACTTAATAATGGTTACTTGTAAACTTGTTATAAGTAAATAAGAGTTTAAAATTAATTAGTATTTAATTAAATTTAATTAAAAGTATTTAATAAATAGTATATGCAAGGAAAAAATTATAATATATAAAGTATTATAAATTTTTATATATGGTACTAATACAGGCGCTAATACAGCTTGCTGATGACCCACTACTGCTTTTTCATCCATATTTTAAATGTATTCAGTATGATTTAATACTCTTCTGGTTGGTTTTCCAGTTTGTCAAAGTAGTCTTGTATGTTTTGTTTTTTTTAAGCCCTGGATGGATTTATCAACTGTGCTTTTCTAAAGCTTATAATAGGATGCTGTCTTAAAAAATTACTACACTAAATTTTTTTTTAATGCATCTTTTGAGATGCACTAAAGCTGTGTTTGTTATTATTAACTTCAAAAAAATCATAGACATAGAACTTAAATAGTTCAGAGGTTACTGGCATTCCAATATCAGACAATCTATTTGTCCAAGATACTTGTTTTTTTCATGATCTATTCACTCCCAACAAGGCTGCAAGCAACCACTATTAAGTTGGGAGTTACTTGGAAAAAACAGAACAGAGTTATAGAGCAAGGAAACGGTTGTCAAAAGACTTGAAAAGTTGAAGGTTGTATGAGTCAGGAAAACATGAAGATGGGAGAGAGTTCCAAAGGATTAAAGTGCGGGGAAAAAAACTAGATGAATAAAAATTTTTAGAGCATGCAGGGACAGATACAGTAAACAAATGAGACTTAGCTAAATGACGAGTAAAACGAAAATGAATTTTAGTTGATGGAACTAGAGTTGAAAACTCCTTTGAGCAGTGACCATGATAGTATTTGTAGAAAAGAGAAAGAGATGTAACTTTATGACGATGGGAAAGAGGCTCAAGCTTAGCAGATAGACCAGGTCCAACATAACAACATAACAGGTCTAACTCTGTTTACAATGGGTTTTTGGACCTTGTCAAGAAGAGAAAGTGAATCGTTAGAAGAACCAGACCAAATATGACAACAGTATTCCATACAGGAACGAATAAGAGATTTGTAGAGGTAGAGAATGGAATCAGAAGCAAGGAAATGGTGAGCACGATAAAGAGAAGCAATCTTAGCAGAAGCTAAGATTCGATTGTATATATGGTTTCCATGAAAGGTCAGTAGTAAGCGATAATCCAAGAAGACGTAAAGAGGAGGACTCAGTAAGAGGATTGCCATCCATTAATATAGGAATGTTGACCATATTACGGTAGTTGTTTGCAGTAAACAACTGAGTTTTGTTAGAGTTGAAATTAACAAGCCACTGTGATCCCCAATCTATTACTGAAGTGAGATCGGATTCAAGATCAGCTGCTTGTTCTAGGCGATCAAAAGGAGAAGACTTTTTGTCAAGACAGGAGTATAAAGTTGAGTCATCAGCAAAAAGAGCTACTTTAGATGAAAGGTTGTCAGGAAGATCGTTTATGTAGATAAGAAACAAAACAGGCCCAGGATGGAACCTTGGGGAACCCCAGAAGTTACTGAAAATAAAGAAGAGTGTTGGCCTTCAAGAATGACTTTAATAAACCGGTTAGAAAGAAATGATTTGATAATCTCAAAAACTTTCCCAGAAACACCATATGAAGCAAGCTTATGGAGAAGACTAGCATGCCAAACTTTGTCGAAAGCTTTAGATATGTCGAGAGCAATAGCCCTAGCCTTACCGCCTCCATCGAATGCTTGATAAAATCTTTCAGTTATAGCAGTTAGCAACTCGGCCGTAGAGCAAGAGGATCGAAAACCGTATTGATTGTCTGACAGTAGTTTATTTGACTCAAGATGAGATGTGAGGAATTTGTTGATAAAAGACTCTAAGACCTTGCTAATAACAGAAAGAAGACTGGTTGGACGATAATTGGAGGGATGAGAATTTTCTCTAGAGTTTTTGAATATTGGAACCACAGATGCCATTTTCAAACAAGCAGGAAAACAAGACTCAGTCAAACACTTGTTAAATAGTTTAGAGAGAACTGAAGAAAATTCTGGAGAACAATTCTGCAAGACTGTGACAGGAATGTTGTCTGGACCACAAGCTTTAGACGAGTTTAATTGAGATATGACTTTAACAACAGAAGCCGGAGTGATTTGAATGTCTAACAATGGGTCAACCTGTTTGACTGGAATGGGAGGAAGAGAATGTCCATAAGATTCAAGAGTGGAATTAGAAGAAAAGTTCTTTGCAAATAGTTCTGCCTTATCCTTGGGAGAGGTAATAAGATCAGTCCCATGAATGAGAGATGGAATGTTAGATCTACCCTTGTTAACAATGCTGTTGAAGATTTTCCAAAAGTCTTTAGAGCCTAACTTCTGCGATAAGATGCAAGATTTAGTGAACTGAGAATAATGGAGTTTAGCATCAGAAAGCACCTTTTTACATTGATTTCTTGCAATAATAAATAATCGTTTGTTCTCAAGAGAGTTGTTCTGTTGAAAAAGATGAAAAAAAATGATTACAATTGGATATAGCAGCCGCACAAGAAGGAGAAAAACATGGAGTAGAATGAGGCTTGACTTGAAACCAACGAGAAGGAATAAAAGCTTCCATTCTAGCCTGAATCCAGGAGGTTACATAGGAGGCGCATTTATCAGCTGAGAGAGAAAAAACATCAGCCCAAGGACCATCATGAAGAAAATCACGAAAAGAATATCAGTCAGCTCTAGGGTAGTAGTAGGTGGTGCGATGATAAGGTGAGCCCAAAAAAGAAGTACGAGAAGAAAGATTTATAGAGATCATTGCATGGTCAGAAACACCTAAGGGAGAAAAGGGAGAAACTGAACATGAGCTAAGGTCGGAGACAAGACATAAGTCAAGGAGTGAAGGTAAATAATTAGGGTTGTCAGGAAAACGAGTCACAAAGTTAACTATCTGAGTAAGAGATTGAGAAACGCAGAAGTTAAAGGCTTTAGTGCTAGCAGGATCAGTGGTGTTAGAGCCAAGCCATTCAGTGTGATGGGCATTAAAATCGCCAACAACAACAATATTGGCAGAGGGGTAAAGAGAGAGGGCATGGTCAATTTGATCAAAGATAACATCTAAAAGAGTGCAATCATGGGAAGAAGGAGAACGATAAAGAACAAAGAGAAAGGTGATAGAGTGAAGAGGTGCTAGGCAAAAGCACATAAAAGAATAGTCAAAGGATTCAAACCTGATTTCATGACAAATAGAGGAGTTAATGCGTATGTATACCCCTAAACCTAGCATGTGACTATTGGAGTCTTTATGAATCAAAGGATAGTACCCATCAACACTGACATCTGAAGAAGGAATTGCAGAACTTAAATTTATTTCACTGAGTGCAAGCAAGTCTGGTGAGTTTTGCAGGAGGTAAGACTCAACTGACGGAAATTATGATAATAACGGAATTATGATAATAAGATAATTCCTGAGTTTTCTTCTAGTCATGCCAAATTTTGTGGATGTCAAATGAATTTTTGTCATTCCCTTAAGATTGTTAGGATTTATGGGCATCTTGATAATGCCATTATCTCGATCAAGTTTAAAATAGTTGACTGAAATTGAAAATAATAATTCTTCATTATTATTTTAAATGTCAAGTTTCTACTGTATATATGTATATAAATAAACAATTTTTTGCCAATCTCAAGCACTTTTAGGTCAGCATTACCAAATGCAAACCTTAATTCTGAGGGCTATATATATATTTATACATACAAACATGCATATTGTTACTTTAGGATTTAAACAAAGAATATATGAAGCAACTATTCCAGCAAAAGGCAGGACAAAATAATTTTATAACGGCTGCTCAGTTGGTTGAAATAATGAAAGTTGGGTGCAGTCACAAGCTCTCTCAGTTCACACTAGATAACATAATGGCTATGGTAAAACTTTTAAAATAATATGCAATAATGTTGTAAACTTTTATTAAATTAACAACATTAAACATGGTATTTAAAAATTGTTTTTTTTTTTGAAATTTATTTATAGGTCATGACAGAAGCAACATCCAATCGTGTGAGTTTTATTTATTTCTCTGCATTTTATGATCTGCTAAATAACTTTGATCTTGTTGAGAAAATTTTGCAGAATGTAGATGATAACAGCAAATATAAAGAGATCAGTAAAGGTATATTTATTGTTTAATCTTTTCAAGTTCTTTAATTTTTAAGTATAGTCCAAAAGATTTATAGAGTATACTATCTGTCAGGCTTGTAAAAAACAGTCATGTGCTCCTCACTCTACCATTTATTCTTTATATAGTCTATTTTAATAGCACTTAGTGAATAGTACCAAGAATAAAGTTATTTAATGTCAGTTTTAGTTATTGATTAACATTAAAAACTTTATAACTTCTGTTGCAAAGGTATTTTTCTAAATCATTTATAACAGCAAACATCTTAGGATGGTGAACCATGCACAGCTTAAATTAAAGAAAAACCACACAATTAGTTTTACTAAAACTATGTTTTGCAAATGTGCTAGTAATGTTTAAAATACAGATTTAAATACATAAATTATTCAAATTTATATAAATTTTAATAGTAAAACCATGAGAAATACAGATTTAAATACATAGTGTATTTAAATAAGGCTAATAAGGCTTTATATAATAAGACTACACTGTAGTCTAATTATATAAAGCCTAATGGATTAGGTGTCTAATATGGCTCACCCAAGATTAAACATAGTATAACAGTATTTTGTTTTGTTTTTTTTGTTTTTTCAGTTATTTTTTCTATTGTGGGAGATTTTTTGCTGAAAGACTTCACATTTTTTAGTCTTTCAAATTAAGAATTTATTTTCAAGGGAGTAGGTGTAGATAGCTAGAGACCTCCAAATTAAGAATTTTTGTTCAAGGAAGTAGGTGTAGAAAGCTGGTAGCAGGTAGGTATAGGTAGCTGGAGACCTCCAGATTTGATGATTACTATCTGAATTTTGGATAAATCAAAAAATCAACTGTTTTATTTAATTATTAAATTGTAAATTTCTATTATAATCTCAAAATACCATATTTCATAAAAACCTCTCTCCCCTTACAGTAGCTGATATTTAACAAGTTTTTTTTTGAAATATAAAAATTTAAACGACATAAATTTGTGCCAGTATAATGCATTAAAAAAAAATTATGACAAGTATTACATGGCAAGTTGTATGTTTTCTTTCAATAGGATTTTTTTTTTTAAAACCAAAGTTCACCCATTTTTTATACAGGGAGCGATTGCTCTTGATTACTCACCACGGAAATAATATTTAGTTGCGAAAAACTGGCCAGATTTTTTAGTCATTTTGAAAACATTTCAAAAAAAAAAAAAAATGTGCTAAAGATTAATTGGACCAATAAGAGACAACTTCTAATGTAAAAAAGTTTAAACAAAAATAAATTACGTTTACAACAAATATTTTCAAAACATCGCTATTTTATAATTTTTTTTATAAAATTAGGCAATGTTTTTTATATAAAGTAATATCTTACGATTGTTTAAAAAGGAAACATGTTCTTTATTTAACAAAGAATGTAATATAATTTTTATTTATTAACTCATGTTTTATTTTCATTGCTAGATTAAGGGGGGTTGGGGTTAAAAGGGGCTATAGCCCCGGGCCCCGCAATGTTAAGGCCCCAAAAAAGTCAAGAAGGCCTTTTTGTTTAGTCATTTTTACACTGTAACACATACAAAGGCATCCAAAATTAAAATAGCCCCCGGCCCCGAAAAGTCTAACAAGATTCTAATAAAACTAACGCAAGTTTTAGTTTTATCTAAGCTAAATTATTTTATAAATAAAAAAATTAATTTTTTTAACACCTATTTTAAGTTTCGCGTAGTTTAAAAGGTTTAACATATTTGTAACATCTTCTTAGTAAGATGAAAAGTTGAAATAATTAAATCATTGAATCAATATAGAAATTAAATTAACTAGATAGAAATCAACTAAAAATGTTAAAAATACTTTATGACGAGGAAGCGAAACTGCTCCACAATATCGATGATGATGTTTAGTAAGTGGGCTTTTTAATTTTAATTAGTATTTAAAGCAGAAAAAAGTATAAAGAGTTTTTTAAGAATGGCAACTGAAGCGAAAATAATTAGAGTTAGTAAACTAATATCTAGAAACTTTCCTATTATCTAATAACTTGCTATATATATTTGTGTTCTATCGTGACCTCAGGTGCAGTGCTTGTTCATCTGTGAGTTATTTGTATGCATTGTTTGTGTTTAGTAACTAGATACTTCTTATATACTTATTACATAATTAGTTTTATTAACCTTGATGAATATAAATAACTTCATTGAAAACAATTATTTTTAAGTCTTTGTTTACAAAATAAATCATAAAAATTGCTTTAAAAGATTACATTACAATAAAATACAGTAACACAAAATTACATTTACATAAAAAATACATACTTTATAAATAAAAAATAAGAATATACTAATAAAATCTATAATTTAAAATAAACTTTCAAAATTTTGACAATTTAAAAAATATATATTATAAAACAAAGTAAAGTGTATAGGTCTAATATCAAATTATATTTGAAAATATTTGCGGTACTCCCACACTTCAATTAAAGTTTTTTCATTATGTAATAATAAACCACACACTATTAAAAAGTTTGTGAAATAATATGTTTTAACGCTATTTTTAAAGGATATTTATGTTATATATATTTTTAAACTCGTAGGAGTTATATATTAAAAATGTGCGCAAGCTATTTTAATTGATAGTATGGAGTAATGTTATGGTTACCTTAATTGTTATTGACATGTATAAATTGACTGAGTGAGTAAAATTGACTGAGTGAGGAAAATTGACTGAGTGAGGAAAATTGACTGAGTGAGGAAAATTGACTGAGTGAGTAAAATGATCTGAGTATCAAATTTACTGATTCACTATTGAGATCTTTTTAATCATAATATCAATTTAATTTCTCCGCGCAGCCATCTTGCTTGTCAAGGTTCGTGTTTCGGAGTTAAAGAGTTGAGAGAGGGTTGTACCACGATTTACAAAAAAAAATATTAATAAAAACAAAACAAAAATGAGTAGCCTCCTCGACTGTAGTGGCCCCCTTGGACCTTGGTGAGGTGAATAATTAAAAAAAAATAAAAATATTTCAATAAAGATTAAACAAAGCACTTAAAAGGTTTTTGTTTTTTTATGTTCATTTATAATTGTAAATATATTCTAAATTTTATTTAATTAAAATTTTAATTGTGTAATTTTAATTGCGTGTTTATCAGTGTGTAATTTAGCATTTAAATAACAAAATGTAAATATGACATAAAATAGCAAAATTTATGGTTAAAAAAATAACAAAAATCTATTATCTTTATTTAGTTATCTAGTTTTGTCATCAGCAATATTTTCTATTTTTTTTCATTTTGTTTTATTTTTTTATTGTTTGCATTTGTTTATAGCAATGTGTTAAAAAACACACTAAAGGACATAAGGTTATTGTTATAATATGACATTAATATTACTATTTTAAAATGCAACGTTTTTTTTTAAAACAATTTTTTTTGCAACTTGTAATATCATGTAATGACGTATAAAATTGCACTAAACAATAATAGTAGGTTTAATTAACTAAATGAATGAACTTATTTTGATTTGTGATTTTAACTTGATTTGTAGAACAGTTATTATTGGCATCACAGCGTTATCCTCAAGTAAGTTTGTTTATTTTTTATGGTTTACAGTTTCTTTTTTAATTTTTGCATTACTAATACTTATAAGTAATAATCTTCGTTTTGTTAACTGAAAAATTTTTAAATTTTCATCAATCAATTTTAGTAGTTAACCTACAAAAGTAGATTAGAAATGAATAAAAATCAATCACCCTCTAAGAGGGTGATTGATCAATATTTATCAATGTTGTTGAATCTAACATGATTCAATGTGTTGCATCATGTTGGTTAGCAACCAGCATTTTACAATATGATGTGACATCTGCCAAAAGAAAGCGATCTGGAAACAACTCCAGTGGAACTTAACTTATAATATCAGATTGATGAACAGAATCCAGATTGACATCAGGTGTGTTAAATGATAGATCCAAAAATATTTATCCTCGAAAATATCCCCAAAATCTTTCACAACCAAACAAATTAGAACCGAAAAGTATACTTTAATTGCAGAATCAAATTACAAAATCCTTTCATGCATCAAAAGGTTTAGAACCGAGTTTTACAACTGAAAAAAAATGGATCAAACTTAATGGATTTAACTAATTATGATAATAATTAGTACCGATTAATTGGCATTGGCTTAATCAGCCACTTTTTGCACAATTGGAATCGGTATCAGCATCCACCTTTTTTTATTAATTTACTGATTTTCCAACAAATGGCATTTTAATATTTTTATCCTGCATTATTATAATTTAATAATAAATAAACTAAACTTTACGCGTTACTTAGAATTTTTTTGATAAATTTTCATTTTGACTTTGTTTACATGCAAAAGCTTTAACCCATTTAAGTAACCTATTTAAGCATTGTTATCTATGTATTTTTTTATTCTTAGTTACTCCCAACAAGGCTGCAAGTAACCACTATTAAGTTGGGAGTTGCTATATGTAAGAATATAGTTATAGAGCAAGACAGAAGACTTAAAAAGTTGAAGGTTATATGAGTCTGTAAAATATGAGGATAAGACAGAGTTCCAAGGGGTTGAAGTGCAGGGAAAAAAACTAGGCGAATAAAATTTTTGGGAGCATGCAGGGACAGATACAGTTAAAGAATGAGACTTAGATGAATGAAAAGTCAAGCGAGAATGAATTTTGGTTGATGGAAGGTGAAAACTCCTTTGAGCAGCAACCATAATAGTATTTGTAGAAAAGAAAAATAGATGCAACTTAACGATGATGGGAAAGAGGCTCAAACTTAGCGAATAGACTGGGTCTAACTCTGTTTACAATGTGTTTTTGGACCTTGTCTAGAGGAGAAAGAGTATCAATAGAAGAACCAGCCCAAATATGACAAACAGTATTCCATACAGGGGCGAATAAGAGATTTGTAAAGGTAGAGAATGGAATCAGGAGAGAGAAAATAGTGACCACGATAAAGAGAAGCAACCTTAGCAGGTGCTAGTTTAGCGATTGATTGTATATATGGTTTCCATGAAAGGTCAGCAGTAAATGATAATCCAAGAAGGTGTAAAAAAAAGACTCAGTAAGCGGGTTGCCATTCATCAATATAGGAATGTTGACAGTACTGCAATAGTTGTTTGCAGTAAATAACTGAGTTTTGTTTGAGTTAAAATTTACAAGCTACTGTAAGCCCCAATCAGTTACAGAAGTGAGATCAGATGCAAGATTGGCTGTCTGTTCTAAGCGAAGGAAAAGAGAAGACTTATTGTCTATACATGAGTATTAAGTTGAGTCATCAGCAAAAAAAGCTACTTTAGATGTAAGGTTGTCGGGAAGATCGTTAATCTAGATTAACGAACACTTTAACATCCTTTAGAAATCTTATTAAGATACAAGATTCCTGAATGGAAATAATGTTCAATGAACATACAACGCCTATGTTTTTTGATAACTTGGTGAACTATATACATAGTGATAAGTAAAAATATTCTTCATAAAATGTTGAAATTAATTTAAACATATTTTAAAAAACCTAAATTTAGTTAAGGCTAACCATTGCAGTAACCAAGGTAACACTTATCAAACTGTGTTCAATGTATAAATTAAACAACCCTATTGTCATTATAAAAGCATTTTACAAAAACTGTACCATTCATTAAGTTAGTGTCCTACTGGCAGTTGATAACAACAGTCCACTTGAGTTTTTATTTAAAATAGTAAATAATCAAACAATTCCGGCAAGTTAAATTGGTAAACTTCAAGACACAAAATCATTTAAAAAGCTTTCAATTTCTGAACGAAAAATTGGACATCTTTTGTTTCTGTCATTTGCAAGGATATCTGACTATGAAAACGCATACAAAAGTATCTACAAGGTAGAACAACAACTTCAAAAGAAAGTGCAAGGCATAACTTGCACAATGTCTCCACAGGCCTGGTGTCTTGTTGATTATCCTGAACATTGTCTTGTGGATTTTTGTCCTAAAATTAAATTTTAAAAATGAAATTAGATTAAAACATTTTAATGTTACGTTACAATATAAAAATTAAACTACAGCAAACTTTATGCTTTTGTCATAAATTTTGCTGTAGTATTATAATGTCATATAATCACCCTATCCGAGGTATTGACATATAATCACCCTATCCGAGGTATTGACATATAATCACCCTATCCGAGGTATTGACATATAATCTACCTATCCGAGGTATTGACATATTAAACTGAAATGTTTACTACACCAAATTATTTCATTTTCAAAAACATTTTAGGATGTGCATAAGTTTTGACAATTTACCTGCTTTTTTTCTGTATCTTCTGCATCACTGATGTGAGTTTAATTTCATTAAAGAAGAAAGCTGAAGCTTCAAGTAACTTTGTTGTCCACACTCCTGTCCACTCTCCTGTGGAAAGTTTTTCTTCGTGACTTTGTAGTTGTTCAAAAGATCGAACTCTCTTACTTCTTTGTCCTCTTCGAAATTGATGACAATTCTGTTATTGGTTGAGTTCCAGTTCTACGTTCAGGATTATCTAATAAATTCGTTAAAAATATCTTTTGATGTATTTTTACGATAAGAAATTTAATTCAAGCAAACAAAGATTGAAATTGTAAATGCAATAGAGATTCCAAATACATCATCAAAATGTTATTAAGTGCAGGTATGAGCAAATTGTCACAAATAAATCATCATAATCACACTTTTAAATCATTTCAAAACATATACAAACGATCTGATTTGTAAAATATTTGTTATCATTTTAAGAGTGTGTTTGTGTAACTATGATAGCTAATTTATATGAATTTATATGACCCTGAGAGACCCTAATACCTTAAGGGATTACAAAATAAATCAAAGTTATGTTGTTATAAGTTTAATCGATTGAATTAAGCCTGTACAATATTCATTCAAATATGGCAATACCTGATGATATATATCGTCTAGAAATCTACATAAGCTATGGTAAGCAGCCATGCATATATTCATTTTTAAATGCAGTGATTCCAAGACATTAACAACTTTAAATTGAAGTCCATGCTGACGCTTGTGCCGTCATCTAATACTTCTCAAAGAAATACACAAAGTTTCTCATTTTTTCTAAAATAAAAGCTTCTGTTTTGGAATCACAAGAGTGGCTTCGCATTGTCTCAAGTAAATCACTTCCTTCACATATTTTTGCAGTTCCAACACACAGTTGATAGTTTTTGCACTTTAAATAAATGTAACTGAATTTTTTTTTTTTTTTTTTTTTGATATTTTAATTTATGCAAATTTAAATTCCTTTGTGATTACTTGTTAATTTAAAATGTGCAATCTATTAAAGCTTTAAAGCCCCATTTTGTATGAAAAGAAGTAAAACTGAAATGTTAGATACCTTATAATATAACTGCAAGTTAATATATTGTTTACATACGTTAATTATGTTTAGATATTTCCACTGCAAATTGATATATTGTTTGACATACGTTAATTATGTTTAGATATCTCCACTGCAAATTGATATATTGTTTGATATTTTAAATGCATCTCATCCTGATAAAAGGTACTTTTAATATTTGGATTTAAAGCTTGAATCTTTGCATGTTGTAAGAAGTAATGATTTATGTTTAGAAAGGGGTATAATATATGTATATATATATATATATATATATATATATATATATATATATATATATATATATATATATATATATATATATATATATATGTATATATATATAATTATGTATAAATATACTTTTTTAAGTTATTTTTTTAATGTATTTGTTTATATATTGTTGACGAACTATTTAAATTTTATTATATTTTGATCATTTATTTTTAAACTTAAGCACCGTCTCAAGAATTGAGACCAAAAAGTTACTTCCAAAAGTGGATCCCATGTCTGTGTTTTCTAAAATTCATCAACATCAAGTTAGCTCAAATTATTTTTTTAATCTTTATGAATGTTAAAGTAATATTAGTATTCAAAGATGTTTTGTATTTTTATTAGCATGAAGTTGAAAAAATTATTAGAAAATTATTTCTTAGATATATGAAGATGAAGTTCTAATAGAACAGCCATTAATTAATAGCATTGCAGAGTCAGGATATAAATTTTTTCTAGGCTCGCTTGCTGGAGGTATGTTTTTAAGGTACTTTATTTTGTAAAACTGTTACAAATTAGTAGCCTGTGGTTTTTGTTTATCATCATTGATTTTTATTTTTTAGCTTCTGGTGCAGCTTTTGTCTATCCTATTGATCTTGTGAAAACTCGTATGCAGAATCAGCGCAGTGTCATACCCAGTGAACGCATGTATCAAAACAGTTTTGACTGTTTTCGTAAGGTTGTTGCAAATGAAGGAATTGCTGGACTATATAGAGGCTTGATACCTCAGCTGATTGGTGTCTCTCCAGAAAAAGCTATCAAACTAACAGTATGCTTTAGTAATAAATATTTAAAGATTTCAAAATAAGGGAGACAAAATAGATCAAATGATTTAGAGTGTCTTATTACATGAGATGATTTAATCTGAGTTGCTTTAAAGCTTTTAAAGTGAGTTGCTTTTGTTCTGGTGTCTTTTTTTTCATTTTCGTAATATTATTGTAATCAATAATAAAATACATAGCGTTGTGCCCAGCGCTCTTAAAATACAAGCAAATACAATCTAAATTCAGTCTGTTATTGTATGTGTGGAAAACATGTTTAACCCTTTTTCAAGCATTTCACTAAGCATTGTTCAAGCATTCTTTAAATCATAGACAATTAATCCTCAAGCATTTTTTAAAACATATGTTTTGAACTTTTAAAATAAATTAAAGCAAAAGTAAATGATAAGAATTTGTTATATTAGTTTTTTTGTTTGATTATTATAAAATAATGTAGTTTGACAGTGTTTTATGATGAATGCATTTTTTTATTAGACAAATGATACTGTTCGTAAATATTTCACTGATAAAGATGGAGAAATTAGACTTATAGGAGAAATCCTTGCTGGAGGATGTGTAAGTTGTTCTTAAATTAACATGTTTGATATATATATATATATATATATATATATATATATATATATATATATATATATATATATATATATATATATATATATATATATATATATATATATATATATATATATATATATATATATATATTTATATGCATGTATTTTTGTAAGTATATATATTTACTATAGCAATATTAGTAAATATATATACTTACATACTTTAGATATATATATACTACAAGGGTTGAATTAAGCGATTGAGAAATGAAAAATCCAGGAAAATATCTGGTCATCAAAAGTTTAGTTAAAACAAAACTGTGTTCTTTGTTTAAAGGGGCAAATCAACTTAAATTTGTTAGCAAAAAAGTTATAAAAAATAACTTACAACTACAAAAGCAATAACACTTTAGTAACTCTAATTAATTTTTTTAATTGCGTTATAAAAGTAATAACACTATTATAGTGTTATTACTTTTATATTTATATTATAAAAGTAAAAATTTATATTATATAAGTAATAACACTATTATAGTGTTATTACTTTTATAACACACTTTTAAGTTTTATAATTCATTCTTTGTTTAAAAACATAAGTTTTTAAACAAAGAATGAACCAAATTTTAATTGAGGTAGAAAAGCATCTAGAAAAATAGAGTGGAATACAAATGATATTTAGAACTTATTAAGGAACTTAAACAATTTTATAAAAGCGTACTGTATAAAAAGTTTAGCATTACAAAAAACATTACTAATGGTCCGTAAAAAAAGCGCCTTAATTTTAAAACCAAATAATTTTAATAGTAGTTACTTAAAATTTTTAAAACCTTATGTTTCTTTATAAAAATCGTATGGTACGACTGAAATTCTCTACAGAACATTAAACTTGGACAGCACAGCAATGATTGAAAATACTTTGATGAGTGATGAGTCAAAGTTTAATATGTTGAGCTCTGACTGTATTAAGTATGTTCGACATCCACAAGGTCACTAAAATGATGTTAAGTACTAAGTTCCCTCAGTGAAGCATGGTGGTGGCTGAGTAATGGTTTGGTCATATTTTAGCCATGATTGAATAGGTTTAATCTATTAAGTTTATTATAGTATTATAGGCGCTTAATCTATTAAGTTCATTATAGTATTATAGACGCTGGACAAAAATATTTATAAAGGAATAATCAAGAACAATAATCAAGCTTAATGCTACTGTATGCAAAAAGCAAAATATTGCATGGTTGGATTTCCAATATGATGACTATCTAAAGCCTACATCCAAGCTAGTCACAGAATTTTTAGCCCAAAAAAAAATTTGAGTCTTATAATTGCCAGCATAGTCTCCAAACCTAAAACCCAATAAAATAGTTTTGGGAGCACATTAAACAATTAATTAGTGGTCACAAACCAACTAATTAACAGGAGATATTGGAGTTGATTAATTAGTTTGGTTGATTCAATGCCATGTAGATACAATGCTGTCATGTGGCAAAAATATTTCCAACCAGCATTATGTACAGGTTATAAACTATATGTAGGACGTATTTAGTTAGTCCAATTACTTCAGAGCTAATCATTTGCAATTTTTTAATAAAGTATTGAGTAATCCCTAATTTGGATTTTTGTTTTTTTCCTCATAATTGTAGTATAATTTGGCATACTTATAAGAAATTTTATTTAAAAAAAGTTACACATTTTTTGAGGGCTTTAAGTTAAAGGCGATACCCAATTTAACATGGTCTATCATAAATAGTGCTCACCCCACACCCACCCCCGATCATAAATAGTGTGCCCGCCTACAACAACATATGTAAAAGCCTATTATGCTTATACAAAAAACTAATAGTTTTATTGTATAAAAATCCCAAAGAATTATTAAACAAAAAAGGGAATTGTTATCCAAGTGCCACCATTAGAACAAATTTTTGCTGGATAACTACAAACCAAAAGATTCGATTTTTCTAACGCATTTTTTTCTTGTGCAGAGTTTTTTTTTCATTGATAAAAAATTATATTTTTACCTGATATATATACAAATATATAAAAATTTAATAAAACACACTAGAAAAACAAGTTAAAGCCATTTCTTTCAAATGTTCATATGATAAATAACTTAAGAGACCATTTTTTCTATTGAGGCAAAAAACAAGTTTCAATAACTTTTTTGTATTAGCCCTATTGTAATATTTTATCTACAATATACAGTAGATCAAGGTCTTTTCTTCTGATAACCAACCAAAAAATGACTCCTAGAGGATGTTGAACACTCTGGATTATACAATGTTCACAGAATTTTCAATTTGTAGCTCTTTTGACATTTGAAGTCATAACTTCTATGGTAGACTCATTACTAAAGCACACCTTAAGAAAAAACAAGAAAATTTAACACAAAATATTTACAAAACACAAAAGACTGAAATGTTTAGAAAAATAATCAATGTATTATAACAAATTACTGATTTCCTTTCATCAACAGTAAAACTACAGTGACTCTTTGTCCAACCCAGGTGCTTTTTAATTGCAAAACATTTAGCAAATCTATTTTTTTCTATTTTTACTACCATTCTCTCATTCCCAAGTGTGTTTTTTTTTTTTTTTTTTCTATTGCCTTCTCTCTGAAAAAATAATAGGAGGTCATTTTTCATTTTGTCTTGGATTCGTTTTACTTTGTGTCTTGATATATCAGTACTGGTCAAAATATATTGAATATTATTAGATATTGAAAATTGCCTTTTTTCAGAACTAATGTCTTCTTTTTTCATATTTTGTAATTTAGAACTTATAAACAATTTTTCTATAAAAATTATTTTGAAAAAGATAAATATTGCTTTCTATAGAAAATTACGTTACAAAATATTGAAAATAACTGTTTAAAAAATTTTCATAAGTATATTATTATATAAATTTTATGTAGTTAAATCACAATCGTTAGCAAAAAATATCAAGTTAAAAAAAAACATTAATATAGTATGGATAATAAGACGTATGGATGATAAGACATGGATTTTTTGAATTGAATAGGTACTGAATTTATTCACCCCTGAATTATTGCCAATCTAAAAAAAAAAAATATTTCTAAAAAGTTGAAAGTATTGGTTATAAACAAAAAATATATATAAATCTACTAGTCAAAATATTAAAAACTTAAAACATTAAACCTTAGGGTAGGGCCTGTAATCTACATTTTGTTTTATATAACTTTCATTTCTGACTTGTAAGCATTAGAAATTTGCTAAATATCACAACTAATAGTATAGTTGAGAAAAGTTGTTGGCCAAATTGCTGAAAATCTAAAAGCTGAAATTTAAGCAGGTGCTCTTTTAGTTGTTTATTAGGGTAGAATTGATGCATGATTTCACAGCTCAAACTCATGTGTAAAGGAATGTTCTAAATGTTAAAAAGAAATGTCCTGGATGTTGCAAATGTACCAAATTGAACAATCTCAAGCAAAGGCTGTTACAATTGCTTTAGAAAAATATGGTTGACAGAAAATATTGTGAAACAACTGTCAATGTTCTCCTATTGGGGATTAAATCCCATAAATGATTGGACAATGACTTGGTCTTATGAAAACTAAAAATTCAGTTCCAAGTACCGCCTCCAAGATGAAATGCTTACTTGCAAGATAAAATACGTCTATCTCAAATTTTGCTTTAATAATTATACATGCTCTATTTTTATTCCCTCCAGTAATTGAGGTAGTTGTGTCGAAGAACAAACCAAAAACTTTTCCTGCTAAGCCTTATTCTTCTAAGGCAGTTACAAAAGAGTTTTCTTTAGATTTTCCAGTTCAATTTGGTAAATTAAATCAAAAAATATTTCAGAAAAAAACAGCAGATTGTAAAAAATATTTTATAATTTATTTAGTTGCAGCAAAGCGTACATAGATTGACAAGTTTTTTCTTTTGAAGCTTAAAATTATCTTAAAATTATTACAGAACAGATTGCATAACTAATTTTAGATCTTGTTTGATTCATGACACAGAAACTTGAAAATATATATATATATATATATATATATATATATATATATATATATATATATATATATATATATATATATATATATATATATATATATATATATATATATATATATATATATATATATATATATGTTTATAAACAAAAAAAAGCAGTTTCATTTTTTTGTCCAATAAAATCCTGCAAATTAGACATCTAGTTTATATAATATATCATTGGTAATTATTTTTAATTACATTTCCGATCTGTTTTCTTTGAAATATATATAGTATTGAGTATTTTTTTTAGTTTTTCTGTGCTTGTTTTGTTATTGTTTTAAATTGAATTAGGGTGGTGGAGCTCAAGTTATGTTCACTAATCCTATAGAAATAGTTAAAATTCGAATGCAAGTAGCTGGTGAATTAGGTGTACGACCTAGTGCTTTAGAGCTATGTAGGGAACTGGGATTTACTGGACTCTATAAGGTAAATAACTTTAAATTTTTTATTTTTTGAGACATAAGCATAGAAAAAAGGTTTGAAGTTACAAGCAATTAAAAATTGACCAACAATAGATAAAGATAATCAGTTGAAAATACAGATAAATCTTTTGAAAAACCTGAAGAAAAAAAAGGAGTTTAGAGGTTTTAAAAATAGTTTATCTTTAGGGTGGAGCTGGAGCTTGTTTTGTGGTTTGTTTGTTTTTTGTTTTTTTTTAGAATTGTATGATTCTCAACTATCTATTTTATAGGGTGCTAGAGCTTGTTTTTTACGTGATATTCCATTTTCTGCTATCTATTTTCCTTGCTACGCTCACTTTAAAACATCATCTGCTGATCATAATGGTTATAATAACCCATTGTCATTACTTTTATCTGCAGCTGCAGCTGGTAAGTTTTGATTTTCAGGTTTTAGATTTATAGAATAATATGTTTTTACATCAACCTAACTTTAATGTCAAGCATTAAACAAACCTATCAAAATTTTACTGTAGTGACCTCTCTCTTGTTTCTGTTTTGTTTATAAAAATGCTTCAATGTAGTGATCTCTCTCTTGTTTCTGTCTTGTTTCGAAAAATGCTTTACTGTAGTGACCTCTCTCTTGTTTCTGTTTTGTTTAGAAAAATGCTTCAATGTAGCGATCTCTCTCTTGTTTATGTGTTGTTTAGAAAAATGCTTTACTGTAGTGACCTCTCTCTTGTTTCTGTCTTGTTTAGAAAAATGCGTTACTGTAGTGACCTCTCTCTTGTTTCTGTCTTGTTTAGAAAAATGCTTCAATGTAGTGATCTCTCTTTTGTTTCTGTCTTGTTTAGAAAAATACTTTACTGTAGTGACCTCTCTCTTGTTTCTGTTTTTTTTTTTTTATAAAAATGCTTCAATGTAGTGATCTCTCTCTTGTTTACATGTTGTTTAGAAAAATGCTTCAATGTAGTGATCTCTCTTTTGTTTCTGTCTTGTTTAGAAAAATGCTTTACTGTAGTGATTATACAATGTTCACAGAATTTTCAATTTGTAGCTCTTTTGACATTTGAAGTCATAACTTCTATGGTAGACTCATTACTAAAGCACACCTTAAGAAAAAACAAGAAAAATTAACACAGAATATTTACAAAACACGAAAGACTGAAATGTTTAGAAAAATAATCAATGTATTATAACAAATTACTGATTTCCTTTCATCAACAGTAAAACTACAGTGACTCTTTGTCCAATCCAGGTGCTTTTTAATTGCAAAACATTTGGCAAATCTATTTTTTTCTATTTTTACTACCATTCTCTCATTCCCAAGTGTGTGTGTGTGTTTTTTTTTTTTTTTCTATTGCCTTCTCTCTGAAAAAATAAAAATAAATCTCCTTTTGCGGAGATTAATAGTTTGCTTTTTCTTTTTTTGCTGAGCTGTTGCTTTTTTGTCCTGATGTGTATTATTTATTCATTTTTTTGTCTTTTTTTTCACCTAACAATGTTATTAGGTAATTGTAGAAGATATTTATTATCCTAGGAACATTATGAGTTGTTTTCAGAAGATATCTAATTCTAGATAGTTGCAAGAAAAGGTTTTTAAAAGAAATTTGCTCTTCTAAAAACTTTTTTTCAGAATCATAAATAAATAGTTATAAAAAACAAAATTGTAAATAGAAGTTTGTGATCTCCATAAACATTTCTAATATCTCATTATAAAGATATTAGAAATGTTGTGGAGGTATTACTCATTTTAGGATATTAGAGTTCTTATGGAGGTGTTACTCATTATAGCATATTAGAGATGTCATGGAGGTGTTACTCATAATAGAGAGAATATCAAAAAGGTTTTGTATATGATTTATTGCTGCAGTTGAATTTAGCGATTATTTCTTAAGATAACTCATATTTCTATAGTTATTCTGCATATATATATATATATATATATATATATATATATATATATATATATATATATATATATATACACACACATATATGTATATATATTTATATATAGACATACACACATATATAAATGCAACATTAGATGCACACTGATGGTGTCATACTGCAATAGGTAGTTTCAGTACATAGATCGATTATCTTATATCCTTATACCAGTTAAAGTGCAGCTACATTGATAATTGTTGTAAAAACTGTTCAACGTTAAAATAAAAATTAATATTTCAAATATAGCAATATATATAGGAGGTTTATTATATATTTATTATATTATTATTTATTTATTTATTATATTATTAAAGGATTATTTGATTTTAAATAAACTTCCACTTATATATAATGAACCTTTACCGTTGATGGTGTGGAGCTTTGTTAGTTGGTTGGAATATCTAGTTTTAGTTGTCACAGTCTTAGAACAAAGGCAAGTTCGGATTATACAGAAATGATTGTCTAGCAGTGTTTAAGATACGGAATGGCAAATAGAAACAGTTAAAAAAAAATGAACTGTGTTAATAAGTCCAACTACCCCTTAAACAATTAGTGCTTGGTTTAAGAAAAACTCAATTTTAATCTCGGTATGCCAATCACCTAAATTTATTTTAACACAAAAAAATTACAGAATTGATACTGAACTGTCTATAGAAATTTGAGATATTTTAGACAAAAAAAAGTTTACACCCTCACTAAAATGGAAAATTTGAAACATTGCAATTCATACAACTTTGTCAAAAATCTGCAATCTTTGCTTATATGAAAAAATATCTCATTTTAACATATAAAGATGAGTTTTTATTAAACTAAAAAAATGAGTTGATTTCCAACATGCACAAGAATGGTTTCCACTTTTTTTAACACAGGTGTTTAGTTTTAGTTTTTCTATGGTTACTATGTTTGTCTAACAAATTAAAGAGCTCATTACATCGTATATTGTAATTTTTAACAGGTTTTTTAGTTTTTTTAATATTATGTTTAATGGATGATGATTGCCATTTAGATATAAAACCTAAAGTATTATAGAAATAGTTGTTTATATATATATATATATATATATATATATATATATATATACAGGGCGCGACAAATTAACGAACGTGCAAACATTTGTTTAAAAAAAACAGTAAAACGAACGTCACGTTTACTTACTTTTACTTAAGCAAACGTTGGCGTTCGCTTAAATTTTTTAAAAACGAACGTATATCTTCAGCAATTTTTTATTTCCAAATAATTATGCGATTGATAGTTTTTTATTTATTATATAAAAAAACAAATATAATATAAAAAAAATAAGTTACTAAAATTTAAAACGCAGTTTCAATGACATTAAAAGAAACCGCGATAATACTTTCTTCAATAGCATTTCTTTTAAGTATGCAACTGTAGAATAAATTATATTTAGCATGGTTCTTACATGCGTTTACAAAAGTTTAGCTTAAAAAAAATGGCAAGTTTAGCTTAAAATGAATGCATTTGCAATTACTTTAAACGGAACCATGCTAAAACATTCTTTTTCCAAAGGCGTGCTTTTTTAAATTTTCTTATTATCATTAAATTAATGTTTATTTGCTGTTTTTAAAGTTTTAAAAAACATTTGCAGAAATATATAAAATTTAATAGATTTTATAGAACTATTATGTTGATTATAGTTTTCATTTTTTACTCTGCGTTTAACAACGACCAATAATATAATATTTTTCTATTAAATACTTAATATTATAAATATAATAATAGCATATCAGGTATTTGATAGTAACTTATTAAATTATAAATTTAATAACTTATTAAATGCTTAATACCATATTATTAATTTTAAATATTTAAAAAATAAAAATGTCAAAATAACTTTTATTTTAGTTTTATATAGTTCCCTTTTATTTAAATTTTATCAAGTTTATATCTTTTTTTTATAATTTAACACACTAAATTGAGAAAAATTCACTATTTTGTATTAATATATAACAGTTTACAGTGAAAAGTTTATTGCATATTAGTTATCATTAATTTGCGCACACTTTGCAAATCCGTTAAAAATTGTTTTAATTAATAAAAATTCATAAAATTCGATAAGTATCTTTGATATATCTAATTATTATATATCTTATTAACTAGAATAAATTAATTTTAAAATAAAACTCCCTTATAATTGAATAAAAAAATTATTTAAATAAAAAATTAAAAAAATTAAAGAAGTTAAAATGAAAGTGGCTTGTTCTGGCCGACACACGGGTTCGAAGTGGAGGTGCGCAACCATCTATTAATGAAAAAAGTCATCTATATCTTGAATTTCTCTTAAATAAAAAAAATATATATAAAATTTTTTTTTTTAAAAAGTGTGTATGTGTGGAGGGGGAGGGGGTGGATATTTGACATACCTCTTAAATTAGACGTTCATCAATAAATAAAGAAATGAACGTCAATGTTTATTTAAAAAAAAACGATTTTTCGCGTCCTGATATATATATATATAAATATATATATATATATTTTCATGGGACTATAAGTTTCATGCCTACACGGCAATGCTATCCTGGTAGTATCCTGGTTGTATATGGCTGATGATTACCGTATAGGCATGAAACTTATAGTCCCATGAAAAATTGTTTTTTCTTTATTTAATTTATATATATATATATATATATATATATATATATATATATATATATATATATATATATATATATATATATATATATATATATATATATATATATATATATATATATATATATATATATATATATATATATATGTATATATATATACACTGAGGCATATTTGTTTAGACGCATCATTTTTTTTCTCTTTATCTTAATTTTTTTCTATGAATTGTCAACTGATATGCATGCAAGTTATTATGAAAATAATTGTTGTGTTGCGGCTAATAAAAACCACAAAAAAATTTTTTTGTGTGTCTTTAGTATGTTTGATATACAAAAGTACATTTTTTAATGGGAATATATCTATAGGCGCAATCAAGTTAATAATGGTAATTACTGATTTTTAATCCCTTTTACACAAATAAATTGTTAAATTTTAGTGTAATATTAAAAAATGATAATGCCATATTTCAGTAAGATAATGCTGCAATTCACAAATCTAGGCATTCTATGAAATTTTTTAAAGACGACAACATCCCGGTTCTCGAATGGCCAGCTTGTAGCCTGGATTTAAATCCAATCGAGAACGTGTGGGGAAGGCCAGTAAGAAAAGTTTATGACGCTAAAGCAGCCGAACACCAATTTAAAACTGTTATTGAGTTAAAGTGTAAAATCCTAGAAGCATGGTCCGATTTGGATCAAACTACACTTTTTGCGGTCATCCAGTGAAATGGAGGACATACGCATTACTAATTTCCATCTTTTAAGGTCAAAAAAATGACTGCGTCTATAGATATATTCCAATTTAAAAATGTACTTTTGTATATCAAACATACTCTCATGATAATAAAGATACATAAATAAAATTTTTGT